GGCGATTTGCATACGCAATCCATTTCGATGCTCTGATGGAAAAATCGAGTTTCGAACGCTGACAAAAAAAAAAAAAAAAAAAAATTGATATAGAGGTTCACCTGTCATCTGTTGGAAAGCAGAAGAATGAGCACTCCGAGGTTACTTCGCCGCGCTGTAGACTCCGTAAAACGCCGTCATGAGGCACGCAAAACACTCGGCAGAATCTCCGTCAAATTAGAGACGTACATCTCTAATTATTATAAGCGCGCAGCAGCGTCGCACCGTACTTGCCGTAAAATCCGCACTTTCGATTTTAGCACGCGCGGAACGGTTTGAAAGCTTGGAGTGACGAGCGAGCGCAAACAAAACAAAAAAGACAAAAACGGTCGTTTCCCTTCGCTCTTACTGATTGGTCGGAAGAGCCCAGAGTGCTTCGCTTTCGGTAGCGAAGGTCATATACACGTCGCCTGCGCTGAAAATCATAGCGGCGAATATGAGCATAACAGTTTGGTCGTGGTGGTGGTGGTGAATACGTTTATTTAAAGAGAAAAAAAAAAAAAAATATATATCTCTGGAGACTCGAAGTTTTCATGACGCGGTGGCCTCAAGGCTTGGCATCGTCTCCTCGGTTAAAGGTGTTAGATGGAGTTTCCCAGGTCTCCCTCAGAAATATATTCTAAGAGAGATCTGAGGATCCTGGTCTTGCGTGAGGTGTCGCCCGCTGGGTGCGTCCAGTCCTGCAGTTTTGAAGGTCTTTCGTCATTCGCCATCTTACTGAAGATGAGTGTTCTGAGGGTGGAGAGGGCCACACATTCCCAGAGTATGTGTTTAAGTCTGGGAATGGATTCCTCGGCTTGACACCGCTGGCATCTGGGGTCGGGAGGGACAGCGTAGGGTTGTTGTTTCTTAAGTCTTGCCAGGTCCATTTGGTATCTGAACCTGGGTGTGACTGCTCCTCCTGTGCGTATGCGGCGGAGGATCACCGATTCTTTTCTCTTGAATTCTTCCCTAGGGAGAGGATGTTGTTCTGGGGTCCATGATCTTGCCAGAAGATGTTTTCGTGTCTTCTGGGCTAACCTGAGTTCCTCCCTTGGATCGTATGGGGGAAGCTCAGAGTCTTGTTGCTGTGGTGTTGAGCCTGCCGTGGAGGACTGAGACAGCAGTTTGGTCGGAGTCGGCTGGGTAGACCTACCCTCTGGACCTACCACTGATCTCTATGACAATTGAGTCCTACGAATATGCTCTTTGGATGGACGTACGAGAGAGAAGCCAGCGACACTGCAATTTTGTGCTACCTGATTATTACTTCAAAGATCGAGAAGGCATTCACCCCCACAAGCTTCACGCTACTGCTATGCCAACCTGCAAGTTCATCCAAACCTACAAGGACCCTCGCATCTTTGAAGGATTTGCACAGCCGAGACTTGGAGAACCCCTTTACGCCCAATATGAATTGGAAGCCAACAGACTTTCAACTTTCTCCAACGACAACAACAACAACGACGACGATGACGACGACAAATGGATCCTCTATGCCAGAGCTGGATTTTTCAACTCCTCAAGCATTCGGGTAGACGCAACCACTGATTGCACGTGTTTCTACTGCGGAGTGTCTGTGTACGTCACCGACGCTGAAACGAATCCCTGGAAACTACATGCCGAACAAGCGCCGAATTGCACCTATCTTCGTCTACACAAGAGTGAAGAAGATATAGAGCGAACGGTATCTGAATACCGTTCATCTCAAGTTTATTGGGCCATGTGTTTACCGGCCATCGAACTTCTGTTGAAGGTTCAAAAAACAAGAAAAAAGGTTTTCCAATTTCTGCGTATGGGGTGTGCGTTAACATCACCCTGCAGTGTGGATGTGTTTGTTGGTGCTGTGAGGGATCGTGATCCTTATTTATTGTTCCCGGTGAAGCTGACAGATGCATCTGAAGACGCTGAGCCCTTTGCGCTAGAGTAAAAGCTTGTCACAATAAATAATTGTCTTTGAAAAATCGAAATGCGTATTGCCTTTATTTCTTCTCCCAATGAAGACATTTTTATTGTCGAGGTTGTTTTCCAAAAAACGGGGGCGCTTTAGCGGTTCCGCTACTTTTTTACGAAAACATACTTACTGCCCACACTCGTTGTTTTTCGGAGACGCTTTTTAGTGCTTCCGCTAGCTCGTTTTTCCGAAAACACTTTCGAATGTCTGCATCTCTCTTGTTCCCAAGACAGTTTAGTGTTCGGGCACTTTTCACATCGGTGACATGTTGGTGCCTCCGTTTTTTTCGTTTGCCGGACCGATTCGATTGTCGCCGCTATATTTTTTTACCTACCCGATTTGACGTCGAGTCGCCGCATCCCCTGGAAACGTCTTTAGTGTCAAGGTTATTTTTTCGGGGACGGAGGCGCTTTAGCGTTTCCGCTCGTTTTTCACGAAGACACACCCGACTGTCGAGGCCACCTGTTTTTTCGGGGGCGCTTTAGCGGTTCGGCATGTTGCCTCCCGCCAACAGTTTTGGCGTATCGGTGAATTTTTGCGCGAGGACAAGTTAGTGTCTCCGGTTTTTTGCGAGCCTCGACATTTTTGTGTCCCCGTTTTTTTTCGAGCCTACCCGATTTGGTGTATAGGCGAATGGCCTAATGACGACATTTTTGGTGTCGAGGTTATTTTCAAAAAAGCGGGAGCGCTTTAGCGGTCCCGCTTCATTTTTTACGAAAACATTGCGAATGTCTACATCTCTATTTTTCCCAAGACGCTTTAGCGGTCAGGCTCCATTCTTATCGGGGACAAGTTGGTGCCTCGGTTTTTTCTTTTGCCGGACCGTTTTCGATGCCCCCCTCATATTTGAGAACCTACCCGTTTTGGTGTCGAGGTGATTTGACTAATGAAGACACTTTTTGTGTCGAGGGGATGTTAAAAAAAACGGGGGCGCTTTAGCGGTTCCGCTACTTTTTTACGAACACATACTTACTGCCTACACTCGTTGATTTTCGGAGACGCTTTTTAGCGCTTCCGCGAGCTCGTTTTTCCGAAAACACTTTCGAATGTCTGCATCTCTCTTGTTCCCAAGACAGTTTAGCGTTCGGGCACTTTTCACGTCGGTGACATTTTGGTGCCTCCGTTTTTTTCGTTTGCCGGACCGATTCGAGTGTCGCCGCTATATTTTTTTACCTACCCGATTTGACGTCGAGTCGACGCATCCCCTGGAAACGTCTTTAGTGTCAAGGTTATTTTTTCGGGGACGGAGGCGCTTTAGCGTTTCCGCTCGTTTTTCACGAAGACACACCCGACTGTCGAGGCCACCTGTTTTTTCGGGGGCGCTTTAGCGGTTCGGCATGGTGCCCCCCGCCAACAGTTTTGGCGTATCGGTTAATTTTTGCGCGAGGACAAGTTAGTGTCTCCGTTTTTTTGCGAGCCTCGACATTTTTGTGCCCCCGTTTTTTTTCGAGCCTACCCGATTTGCTGTACAGGAGAATCACATCGTGAAGACAACTTGAGTGTCTTGGCGATTTTTTTGGACACGGAGACGTTTTAGCGGTCCCGCTTCAATTTTTACCAAAACATTGCGAATGTCTAGATCTCTCATTTTTCGAAGACGCTTTAGCGTTCAGGCACACGGTTTTTTGGGGACAAGTTGGCGTCCCGGTTGTTTTTTCACGAGGACAAGTTTCTGTCTCCGTGTTTTTTGGAGCCTCGACAATCTAGTGTTTAGGACATTGCGATAATGGAAACACTTTTATTGTCTCGGCTATTTTCCGCTTGGGGACACTTTAGCGTCTCCAACATTTAAACTGTCAATGATTTCATTGACATCAATATGCTGTGTTTAGGCGATGTCAATAAAAATCATTGACATGGCAATGAAATCATTGACATAAATCCACTGTGTATAGGCGATGTCAATAAAAATCATTGACATGGCAATGAAATCATTGACATGGCAATGAAATCATTGACATAAATCCACTGTGTACAGGCGATGTCAATACTTTTTATTGAGATGGCAATGAAATCATTCGGAATCCATGCACTTGGGGACATTAAGACGTCTCGGACCTGTTTTTCGGGGGCGCTTTAGCGGTTCCGCTACTTTTTTACGAAAACATACTTACTGCCTACACTCGTTGTTTTTCGGAGACGCTTTTTAGCGCTTCCGCTAGCTCCTTTTTCCGAAAACACTTTCGAATGTCTGCATCTCTCTTGTTCCCAAGACAGTTTAGCGTTCGGGCACTTTTCACGTCGGTGACATTTTGGTGCCTCCGTTTTTTTCGTTTCCCGGACCGATTCGAGTGTCGCCGCTATATTTTTTTACCTACCCGATTTGACGTCGAGTCGACGCATCCCCTGGAAACGTCTTTAGTGTCAAGGTTATTTTTTCGGGGACGGAGGCGCTTTAGCGTTTCCGCTCGTTTTTCACGAAGACACACCCAACTGTCGAGACTACCTGTTTTTTCGGGGGCGCTTTAGCGGTTCGGCATGGTGCCCCCCGCCAACAGTTTTGGCGTATCGGTGAATTTTTGCGCGAGGACAAGTTAGTGTCTCCGTTTTTTTGCGAGCCTCGACATTTTTGTGTCCCCGTTTTTTTTCGAGCCTACCCGATTTGGTGTATAGGCGAATGGCCTAATGACGACAGTTTTGGTGTCGAGGTTATTTTCAAAATAACGGGAGCGCTTTAGCGGTCCCGCTTCAATTTTTACGAAAACATTGCGAATGTCTACATCTCTCTTTTTCCCAAGACGCTTTAGCGGTCAGGCTCCATTCTTATCGGGGACAAGTTGGTGCCTCGGTTTTTTCGTTTGCCAGACCGTTTTCGATGCCCCCCTTATATTTTGGAACCTACCCGTTTTTGTGTCGAGGGGATTCGCCTAATGAAGACACTTTTTGTGTCGAGGGGATGTTAAAACTACTTTATGCCTTTGCGAACTAACGTGTGGACATGGATTGGTATTCTGAGGAAGATCGTCCATTGGGAGTGGATTGGGTGAGTGATTTTTTTTTGAAAATCATAGTAGGAGTGCATAAAAAATCTAATTTGACTTATTTATACTCGTAGAGACCACCTTTCTGCAACGGCCGAAACGAGATGTTTCCAATGTACGGCGCATATGTACGCAGCGGACTCGTTGACCACTACATCTCCGTTGCCGAGGCTCAAGAAGTTTTCCGCCATCTTAACGTACTGGATGCTGGATGTTCTGACCACTTATGTACGTCATGGAAAGACATTTGTTATCGGTTAACGTGGTGAACACCAACAACTAAAGTAAAAAAGACACTTGTTCAATACTATACATATAAAAAGAAAATCAATGAATGCATTTGTACAGAATGTGTGGAATTATATATAGAGAAAAAAAAACATGTTGTCCGCTCAATCCCTGCAACATGTGTCATGTTCTTTAAGGGAGTTGCGAATTTTTATATACAGAAAAAAAAATGTAGGGGACTTATTCGATTACATTACAGAATGCACAAAGGAGTTCTCTGTGATTTCGGACAATTCTATGAAAAGTTTTTGCATTTACTTTGTCGCCAATTATACAGAGAGTTTTTAATTTCATATTCGATCGCCCCAAGTAGCGGATTCCTTTGTTCGTCATTCGGAAGTAGTGATAAATGATTAGATGTTGCAACTCCCTTAAAGAAGACGACACATGTTGCAGGGATTGAGCGGACAACATTGAAGCATCGGTAATTTCGAGAGAAACTAATCTTGGCGCTTTGGTTACAATTTTGTGCAAGAGAGTATCTGTTAAATTAGTAATGGTTATTTTTAGGTGTTCAACGTCTTTGGAGAGATTTTCAATATATTCTACGGAGTTTAGGATTAATCTTGTGCAAGATAGGGTAGGCGTTTCAGTGTTTTTAGTCAATTCCACACTTTCTGTAGTTAGGGAAAATAACTCTAGGATATTATCCCAGTTCACACTGCCGTGAATAAGACACGGATTATTAAAATTTATCAAGTGTCTAAACACGTTTTCGGCTTTGTTGATCGGAATGATATTACGGTGCGTACGTACGAACGTCCCTGCTGGCAATTGACTGTCTTTCGACTTGTTGCAAAAGTCTACGAAGAAGACATCGTCAACGGTCTTGATGGCGGGGGTACCAGTGAAATCGCAGTGTGCAACAGCCTCAGTGTTGTCCATTGTGAATTTGCTGACATCCGCGTTATTGGAATCTTCACTATGGATATAATCGCCGCTTGTGCTGATTGTGGAAGTGTTGGAATCTTCTCCGATGAGCATATCGTCTCTGGCGGTCGTCTCATTTCTGTCGACGCTGTCTTTGACGGTGCTCTTCATGGTATTCGGTTCCTCAACTGTTTTTGACCATGCCTTGAGTAGTTCTCCAAATTCAAACAAATTTTCCTGCAAATTGTTCTCCACTTGGCCATGGATACACGTACACTCCGCTTCGGCTTCCACATCTGCGCGATAAAAATAAAGCTATATAGTTTCTTTTACACACTCTTTAAAAAAGTAGAATTCTTACCTTGCATCTTTTCCTCGTCGTAGGAGTAGGAGACTCCGGGGAAAAGATCCGCCAGGACCTTGTACTCGTCAAAGCTGGAGGATCCGTGGTCGTCTAGCATCGGAGTAAGGAAATATCAGTCGTGGGTGGAGGTTTTGTGTGGAAAAGCACATGGTCACGTTTCTACTATAGCTGTATATATAGAGAGAGTTGAGATTCTGCGAGAAGGAGAAGTTATCGATGTTGAACAGGCACTGTTTCTTAATCGCGCAAAACATCCGTTCTTTCGAAAACGTAAAAACAACACTAATGGTGGTGTAGACATACTTTTTTTTTTACGGAAAGAGGAGGTTGTGTGTAATCTTTAAGAAAATAAATATCTCATGTCAAGAACATCCCGTCTCGAAGTGTGTAACCTTATATCCGAAGTAAGATAAAACTGTGACCTCCTCCCCCAACCCCTTACATTTTCAATGTCACATCTTACTGTAGTTTCTCACGCTGCCAGATGGATGACATCCTGCTATATTTAAATAAACAGATGTAAATGAAATTTTAAACAGTAATCTCTAAACAAGAAGGGTGTGGTGGCCTTGGTATATCACATTTCGTTTCTTAGATTTGCAGTGAAGTTTTTTGCGGCTTGTACGGCAGCCCTCTCCTACCATCCATAATTCCTTACTCGCAAAAGTCTAACTAAATCTTACTGTAGTTTCTCACGCTGCCAGATGGATGACATCCTGCTATATTTAAATAAACAGATGTAAATGAAATTTTAAACAGTAATCTCTAAACAAGAAGGGTGTGGTGGCCTTGGTATATCACATTATTTCGTTCCTTAGATGTACAGTGAAGCTTTTTGCGGCTTATGCGGCAGCCCCTCCTACCATCCATAATTCCTTACTCGCAAAAGTCTAACTAACTAAGTAAAGTAAATAGAAAAGCATCTACTAGTACACATGTAGTGTAAAAAAATATTCACCTTGCATTCTGTTGACTTGTTGCAGAGAGGCCTCGGCACCGGTCACGTTCGAGGTCTGGAAATCCATTTTTTTCTGTCTTGGCCTTGGGGTATTTCCAGTATTTATAACTCTTGGCTATAGTTATACGTCAATCGCACAAAATTGATAAAAGACTGCAGTAGTGGAAGTAGTTGATAAGAAATGCACATCGACACGCGTCTTTTAAAGATAAACACGCGAGAAACTGTTTTTGCATATTTTGGGGAGCAAACTGGGAAACGAATCATCTTATTGGTCTTCGTAAAATATTTTCTCTAAAAGTGGTCACAATTGGTGGATGGATTTTGGAAGATGAGAGGAGGGGGGTCGTCTATTGGTTTGTGGTTGGTTAAAATATTTGGGGGTGAGAAGGAAGGAAGGGATCGTCCTAACTAATCTTTTCTAAAGATTACTAGGAAAATTCCTTCTTTCGCGACCACTTAACTTTTTGTCAATACAGACTTTGAAAGCAAAAATGTACACAATGGGGTAGATAGATGGCTTTGGGTGGGGGAGAGGGGGGTATACTAGCTTGTGGTTGGTTAAAATATTTGGGGGTGGGTAAACTCTTCGTTCGACCTCTTAACCCTTGTTGTCAATACCGGTTCTACTTTCCAAGAAAACTGTACACAATGGGTAGATGGATGGCTTTGGGGGGGTGGAGGGGGCGGGTGAGGAGGAAGGAAGGGATCATCCTAACTGATCTTTTCTAAAGATTACTAGGGGGGAGAGGTATACTAGCTTGTGGTTGGTTGAAATATTTGGGGGTGAGAAGGATGATTTTTCACAACACCAACAACACTTCGTTTAGTCGGCAATAGTTGTTACCGGTGTCGAAGCGCAGATGCCTCACGGCATCGCTACAACGTGGTGAATCGCCGGGTACCAATCACCGGAATCTGCTGCCAGAGATTTCTTTCGAGTTGGGTCTTTGTTAATCATTTAGCGGGCCTTTTTTGGTTGGCGACCGCCTGTTTCAAGCTACGGTCAAGCCCTCTTATAACGGAGCTGAAGGGCAGACTATTTCCTTCGACACTTCGGCGTTCTTTTCTGTACAAGAATTCGACGGTGAGTTCCCCATCTCGTTTGGATATCCCTACTTAACACTTTGTTATAAGTAGGCTAGACTGTAGCAGTAAAAATAGCTAATGCGTAGTGCTGTCAAGTTTCGAACGGTTTCTTGGCTTGCGTTTTTATTTTTTTGTGCTTGTAAAGTTAGCCAGCGCATATGGCCCACAAGGAGATCGTGGTGGCGGTTGGCACAATCGGATCTGCAGGGATTGGCTTGCCTATATGTGTTAATTTTCCGTCATTGGCTTTTTTTTTTTTTTGCTAGTTTTTTTGTCTATTTAATCGTGGCACTTTTTGCTAAACCAAACCTTTGCACTTTTTGAAACTCTTGTTAGGATCGATCTAGTTTTGCCTTTGGAACAGTAGTTCGTGTAGAGAGAGCAGGCTCTTGAAAAAGTGCCTCACTGCATCTTTGCAGGGCGATCGCCTCGAAACTTGACAGCACTTTGCAACGAAAAGGAGGGCATAGCAAAGTCGGCCACCGTAGTACCTCCGACAGCCCTCTTCCGGAGGTGCTCAGAGTCGTCTGCTTAGCGGCGACCGACCCAACAGCATGCCGCAGAACGAGCACATTGAGCTCCACCGGCGCCGCTATGGCTACCGGTTGGATCACCACGAGCGACTGCGGAAGCGCAAGGGCCGTCAGGTCCACGAAGATGCGCAGAAAGCGAAGACTGTCCGTGGCCTCAAGGCCAAGATGCTGACCAAGAAGCGCTACTCGGAGAAGGTGCAGATGAAGAAGACCCTCAAGATGCACGAGGAAAAGCAGACGAAGCAGCGGGGGCCCGAAGCCGCCGCCCAGGGAGCCGTGCCCGTCTACCTGCTGGACAGGGAGAACCAGTCGCGCGCCAAGGTTCTCTCGAACATGATCAAGCAGAAGCGGAAAGAGAAGGCGGGCAAGTGGGACGTGCCGGTGCCGAAGGTCCGCGGCGTCGGGGATGCGGAGGCCTTCCGGGTCCTCAAGACTGGCAAGCGGAAGAAGAAAGCCTGGAAGCGCATGGTGACGAAAGTGACGTTTGTCGGCGAAGGCTTCACGCGGAAGCCACCCAAGTTCGAGCGCTTCATCCGCCCAATGGCGCTGCGCTTCAAGAAGGCGCACGTGACCCACCCCGAACTGAAGGCCACCTTCTACCTGCCGATCATTGGGGTGAAGAAGAACCCGAGCTCTCCGCTCTACTCGCAGCTGGGGGTGGTGACTCGGGGCACGGTGCTCGAGGTGAACGTGAGCGAGCTGGGACTGGTGACGCGGGGCGGCAAGGTAGTCTGGGGAAAGTATGCGCAGGTGACCAACAATCCGGAGAACGACGGCTGCATCAACGCCGTCCTCCTCGTCTGAGCGGAATAAAGAGAGTTGTTTTGCGATTGGATGTGGTGTGTGGCTGCATTCCTTCTGGATGGGGTGGGCCGGTCTGTGGCAGTTGGACCACTGTGTCCTCGTTATCTTGCAGAAGGCTAATCTTTCAGCAGCTGAAAAAACTAGATCAAAGATTTGTCAGTATCTGCCCCGTTTTTAATTCTTTCATGTGCTTGAATCTTTGCCATGAACCTACTTGTTGATCCTGCTTGGTTGACTGGACAGCCGTCCAGTTGTGAAGGAAGCAGTCTGCTTGCCGTTTGTGAGAAGCTTTCTGTTCTCACAGTGTACTTTGTCTTGCAGCGGGTCATGCAGATCTTTGTGAAAACTCTCACGGGCAAGACCATCACTCTTGAGGTGAGTGTTTGCCTGTCGTGCTCCCTGAAGGTAGTCTTTTGCTGGGATGAATCATGTACCACTCTTACGAATCTCACTGGTGATAGACTTCATACACCGAATCACTAAATGTACTTCTGATGGCTGTCCTTCTAAAGGACGTCTCTAGTGCTACCTGCAGAGCAGAATCTTCAAGTTCGACTTGGTGCTTTGCAGGTCGAGCCCAGTGATACCATCGAAAATGTCAAGGCTAAGATCCAAGACAAGGAGGGTGAGTTGGCCGCTTGACTTTGTTAATGATGTTGGGGCTTGTAGTTTATGCTGGGAGATTTACCTCCAGTACTGGTGTCATGGATGTAATGGGAGCTTATTGTGGCTTCCCCGAGTCTGTAAAGTTCTACAATTAGTGACTCCTGCCTTTAAAGTAGGCTGTTATATCTTTTTTTTTTTTGGTGTTGACTCAAAACCTTTTTGAGATGACCACCTAAAATACTACGAGGTATTGCCATAAATATTGTAGCTCTTGTTTTGACTTTCCTTTGACAAACAAGCTATCAAATTGTCATTTTCCTTTTTTTTATATATATATATGTGCTACGACACATAGTGTGTCGTATAGCAGTTTGTTTGTCCTCGATTGGCTCTGCAGTGCCAAAGCAGCTTCTGTGACTAAGGCCATCCTTGATTTCACCTCGATTGCATGCTCACTATAAGCTTCAAGAGCAGGTTCCCGCAATCCTGCTAAGCTTTGAGCGCTCGTGCAGTGCAAGCATTGTTCTTGGCAGCACACTAGTAGCTTCGCTCGCGCATGAAGTTAAAGGGCTAGTGTAACGATTTTAGTGTTGAAAGAATTAGCAGTTTGTATTTTTTCATCAGCTTCAAAAAACTGCTATTCCTGTGCATAATCTCAAAGAAAGCGATATATTTGCCGATCTGCTGCCGCTTGTGGTTAACGGAACTGATGTGCGACATACCCTGTGGAATACGCCGAAGTGAACAAAACCTGTCCACCCTTCCGCTGCTCCTCGCTGTCACCCCCGTGGCGAACAATCCTTTGTGTCGATCGCTCACTGCAACCTTCGACAATGCTAATCTTTTTAGAAGTCAATAATCGTGGAAGAAGCGGCTGGGGTTTCTGAAGGGAAAAACCCAAGGGGAAACCACGTGATCCCCCAGAGTACTCACTCGAAAGGCGACATGGAGTGTTGAAAAGCACTTTGACCTTCGATTTGTTTCATTTTTTTACATTAAAACTAGCGCTCTCAAGAAAATACGGTTTTCTGTACTTCGTTCTTTGGGTGCTACAGATTAATGTCCGCAGTTCATAGTCTGAAAACCATTGCACCGCCCCTTCAAACAAACTGTACGCGACTTTGCCGCTTTTCCCATGCCCGTGTTGCGCGTCTTTGCAGGCATCCCCCCTGACCAGCAGCGTCTGATCTTTGCGGGCAAGCAGCTGGAGGATGGGCGCACCCTGTCGGACTACAACATCCAGAAGGAGTCGACCCTACACCTGGTGCTGCGCTTGCGTGGCGGCGCAAAGAAGCGCAAGAAGAAGAACTACACCACTCCCAAGAAGAACAAGCACAAGAAGAAGAAGGTCAAGCTGGCCGTGCTCAAGTTCTACAAGGTGAGGGGGTGGCCGTGCAACAAGGTTTGGGTGGGCCGGGTTCCGCTGCAAAGTCCGGAGGGCGATCTGTGAACTCCAAGAAGTGCCACAACAGCAGTTCTGAGCTGGGCCACTCGTGTCCCATCATTCATTTGCAGGCACTACTTGGTTCACCACTACGCTGACAAGTGCAACGGAAGCTCCACGCTTTTGGCCCAGTCGTGTGTCCAAGTTTAGCCGCGTAATTGCATCAAGTTTTGAAAGTTGACAAATAGTGCTCGCTTTTCTGAAGAAAATTTGTCTCGATAGCAACATCCATCTTATGTAGTGGTGTTTCTTGCTCCAGATTCAGCAGCAGATTTGATGTAACAAGATGTGCAATTGTTGCCACATTGTGAGTTGGCAGATGAAGGTGGGCTTCTCTGGGTCTTCTAGTTTGGGACTTGTCATGAAAAGATGGTAGTCAATTTCTTCTTCATGAAATGTGCTAGCATTTTCTATCAAACTAGGTCTGCTTGGTTCACTCTAGCTCAGCTATACACCTTTTTCAGAAGGACACAGCCATCTTGAAAGTCATCACTTGTATGCGTTGGAACATAATTTTGATCTCTACATCGCTGGAAGGTGTTCACAATAAATGTGCAATTGTCACATTTTTGTCTTTTCTCATCTATATTCTCTCGCATACTCCAAGTTGAAATGTTTTATTTTTTCATCCCGCATACCAGATATGGAACCCACATGTCTGGGAACGAAACGAAAAATGTCTATACAGCAGTACCTTTGTTTGGAGTCGTCCGCTTACTCATAAATGCGGTTTCCTGCTCCAAATGAAACGAGCACACTTTCAGGGCCTTTATGGCATTTTAAAACGTGGATGTTTACACCTTTGTTCAGGTGGACGAAAATGGCAAGATCACTCGCCTAAGGCGGGAGTGCCCCAGCGACGACTGCGGAGCCGGTGTGTTCATGGCCGCCCACTTCGACCGGCAGTACTGCGGAAAGTGCTGCCTCACCTACGTGTACAACAAGCCCGACGAGAAGTGATGGCGCGTCCGCTGGTCAAAATAAACCGGGGAGAAAACAATGTCCCGTTGTCTCTGCGTCGTGCCTTGGGCCGATGACAGGCCTTTTTTAAATAACTGCATTGTTGCAGTTATTTAACTGTTGCCCATTGTTTTATACAGTGGCATCTAGTGACAAGACTGCTTGGGTAAGGTGCATCTTTCTATTTTGTTCCCATGGCAGTTTTGAGGGGGCACTGAGGTTGATTTTAAGATAGTATTAATCTTGACCCAACTGCCCTAAATATGCCAGTAACAATTTATGATTGTGTGGCTTTTTTCCCTTTTCAGAATGAAACAAAACATTTGAACACGACCCTTTTTTATGCAATTGATCTAAGATTAATCTGCTATGGGTTGCATTTTTGAGAGGGAAGAGTTGTGCATGATGGTAATCTTTGGTTTTCTAGGATGCTTGGGGCATGTAGGTTGAGTTAGCATTGTCAGACAGTATCTCGAAATCCAGTTTGGTACCCCTTTGAGTGTCTTGTAGCTACACAGGTAGAAGACAGACAAACCTATGGGTGCATGCGCGCTTTTCTCTTAACTGAGCTATGTTGGTTTGCATCTTGATGTTGCAGTGTGCTGTACAGATATGGGAGGCTGTTCAAATGCTGAGAGGGGTGCCTTCCTGTTTTTGGTGAGTTTTCTTTTTTTTGCTTTATGTTGGATGTGCTTGCATTGTGATGAATCATGTACCACTCTTATGCATTCCACTGGGGATAAACCCTACACACCGAATCACTATATGTACTTCTGATTTGCACGTTGCAGACAGACAAAGCTATGGTGCACAGGCACTTTTCTTTGAACTGAGCTATTCTTGTTTGCATCTTGATGTTGCAGTGTGCTGTACAGATGTGGGAGGCTGTTCAAGTGCTGAGAAAGCCCTGCCTGTTTTTGGTGAGTTTTTTTTTTTTTTTTTTTTTTTTTTTTGCTTTAAGTTGCACGTGCTTAGTGGCATTGTGATGAATCATGTACCACTCTTACGCATTCCACTGGGGATAAACCCTACACACCGAATCACTATATGTACTTCTGATTTGCATGTTGCTGGTGGTGCTGAAGAGCGGATATCTGGAGCTGGGTCCTGAAGGGTTTTGTTTCTTTGTGCAGGTGGGAGTGCCTCTTGAGGTCTGAAGACATGGTCCAGCTCTTTGGGTCTGCATTGATGGAGGTCCTAACTGTGGTTCAGTTTTGTAGGCTCTATGCATTGAGCCTGCAATGCGTAGACCTCCTTGGCATGCTTCACTGCACCTTAATAAACATTTCTCGGCATTGGTTGGGTGTCGTGTCGAATGGTCACTTGGCAGTACAGAATCAAGGCATCTGCTATGTCTTGTTTTGGGGCTTGCCTGTTTGTGTGATTGGCTGTGTACTCTGCTTCATACTTTGGGTACAGCGCTGTCAAGGCTGCTGGTGAAACATGGGGTTTGATCTCGGATCATCTGCATGTGTTCTTGCACAAACAAAACCATGAAGAAAGACAAGCGCTCGTGCCAGTAGATATACCTGCACCTGTGCAGGTTCGGAAATTGCCCGATAGTCGTGGACGCCGGTGATTTCAGCCCCAAACAAAAAAGCTACTTTAGAATACCGCGCATCTGCCCATTCCACATTAAACGCCAATTACCAGATTTGTAAGATCTGAGAAAATGTGCACAGTAAATTGATGTGTAAAACTAATGCCTATTTTTTTGTGATTATCTCCAAAGTTTGGGTGGGCGCTTGCCCGGTATTTTACGGTATGTTGATCCACACGGGCACGGTGTGGCAGCGCATCTTCTACACATTGCCATCGGGTACTACTACAGGGACATGGGACAGAGATGGAAATCAAGGCACGGCATCGAATACTACAAATGCTTACATCTCTGCAGTGTCTACATTGGAGAAGACATGTTGTGGTGAAACAAAGATTTTGTTTTCTACGTGCCCACCAAGACTGTTCCAAGAGTCTGGATGAGGCTCTACGCGACCAACTGGTTGAAAAGGTACAAGAATGTCTTCTGCTCGAGGGCGCTGCGCTCACTTTAGACAGGGCCATCCTACTGGCTCGTCAGGTGGAGCAAAGCAGAAGGGAAAACCAGCAAGTGAATAACATCTCGGCAAGTTCTGCGCCAGTTCAGGTGGTACACGATAAAGAGCCAAAGTTGGCCGGAAGAGCCAGTCGGGCTGGCCCAAGCGTTTCCAACCAAGCTCCACCGAAGAATGCAACGTGCTACAGATGGGGGGGGAGGGGGGGGGGGGCAGCTCAATGCTGCATTGGTCCAATTAATCAAAATGCATCGCAAGAAAGAGTGAGCGTCACGAATGTCGTAAACACGGACACTTCGGATCAGTCTGTTGAGGAGAAAGAAGTGCGCCAAGCAGCACGTGCAAGGTGGCGATTAACCACGCAGGTGTTGAGCAAGATGTTCATCTACTACAAGTAAAAACACCAATCGAGTCTCCTGCGGTGTATGTCACCGTGAATGTTGAAGGAAAGGATGTTACATGCTTGGTGGACATCGGTTTTCATCATGTCATGAGATGTATACAAGACAATCTTACCGACGAGCAAGCCTCTGCGAGCTGCGGAAGTGAAAGCTAGTACCTGACTATTCCAGGAAACCAATTCCATTGTAAGGTTGCATTACTGCTACATTATCCTATAGACGTGAAGTGAAGTGTCTGTGCATGCTCAGTGCCGTCGACAGCGCCACCGCAGCTGCGTGACGTCAGGGACGCGTGTTGGTTTATAGGGAATGGAGCACACCAACCTTTCTGTACGTCGTATTGAAAGGAACCACTCTTCTAGGACTTGATGCACTGTCGGCATTATTGCTTCGAATTGAAGGATCTACAATGTAATGTCGCCCGGATTTTCAAACAGCTTGAAGAGGAAGAAGAGGTATGTCAGGTGACCAACTGTTCGTCTATACACATGAACTACAACAGGAGACATCCAAAGATTTCTACATACAGAAGTTTTCCGAGTGCAATTCAAAGTCGCTGGCCATCAAAGAGCACTCAGGACGACCAACTGCGGCCATACTTCAAGATCTGTTCAGAGCTGTCCAAGATGGAAGGTCTCCAAGGAGATAGGATCAATCTGCCGTCTACTCTGACAGCAACAGTCATTGTCTTGGCTCATGGTGCTCATCCAGGAATGGTGCGTGGAAACCAGCATCTCTGCCACTACTTCAGCCCGTTCCCCTACCTTCAAGACCATGGGAGTAATCGGAAATAGATGTGGTCGGACCATTCAAACATGCCCACAACACTGCTGATTCATGATTACCGTTGTGAACTTACTACAGTTGCTGTCCAGAGGTGGCATTCACAAACAATGCGACAACAACTACAGCGATCAGATTCCTGCATTCAATTTGCAGCAGAGAAGGCTACCCATCAGAAGTGATGACGGACTACGGCAGTCAGTTTATTTCATTACCGTTCAAGGACTTCCTCTGAGAAGGAGGAATCCGCCAGCTTCATTTGTGTGTATACCACCCTTTGCAAGGGGCGGCCACTGAATACCTTAGAGTTTACAGAGCAACTCCTCACCCAATTCAACACCAGCCTACTTGCAGCATGGCCGAAATCTTAGGACAAAGCTGTATCTCGCGGGCTTGGTTCATCTTCCAGTGGCCGGAGCATCTTCAGAAACCAAGCAGGAACTCGAAGAGAAGGTGAAGAAATATGCCGATGCTAGGCGAAGTGCAAAGGCTCGGGAATTTCAACCAGGTGATGCGGTGCAATATAAAGAAAGGTCACATACTTGCTCGACGACGGGAAAATATTGAACGAAGAGTTAATTGCTGCATTTTGGGGGCCTACTACACCACGTGGCACTGGCTTCAGCATACCGGATGATGTTCTACCCAAAATACTGTGGCAGCCCAGTGAGGAGCAAGAGACTCTTTCAGAGTTAGAACAGGCCACTGAAACTGAAGACATTCCTGAACAGGATGTTTCGACGATGCCACCACCAGAAACACCATTGGTGAAACCTCGGAGGTGTGGATGTAAGAAAGTGCCTCCTGCCTGGTTTAGAGACTACGAAGTTTAGAAGAGTACTTAGAGTATTAATTGCTGTGTGAATAGGAACTATATATTTTCACAAGGGGGGAAAATGTTTTGTTGCCACTATTCGAATGATAGATTCATAATCATCATCGTGAGGCATTTACGGGTGAGCCAAGTGGGTTCACATTTTTGTAATGAGCCGCCACTTCGCGCAGCGCGGGGTGTCGCTAAAACGTTGATTTGTTCAAATGTCGCTGTTCGCTAAAACGTCATTCACTCGTGTGACACGGACCCCTGCTAAAAACAAAAATTGGGTCGTGTGTATGTTTATACAGCCTAGAACTTGGTCCACCTCAACGGGCGACGAGTCCCCCAGCTGTAGACGAGCAATTTAGCCAGTGCAGTACAACCGCTAGCCTAGGGTCTTTAATGTGCATCACGCAGTAGTGATACACAACCGCAGGCCGATGCGATGCTCATCCAGATCGAAACTGGCAGGGGTGGGGATTGAACCCAGGACCCCTGCTCTTGCCGATACAACAAGCGCCCCACTGACTTCCATGACGAGGCATTTGATATGACGCGTCGCAACCATTTTAACTGCTGTTTATTTAGATGCCCGTTTTTTGCAGTCACAGCTAACGCCAGTTGCGCTCCATAAAACAATTGATGCTCTCGCATAAAAAAAACGCAAAATTTTGCGTGAAACCGTTGTTTTCTCGAGCGCACCGGCTTAAAAGCACAGTGGAAGGAACACATTTAGGTGACGACTCTCTGTCCGACGCGGCGACCACATTATGTTCAGTGCACCGAGCACTTCACTCGCACGGAATTAGATGGCGCCTGAGTATGGGGTACTTCCCAAACCGACCACTTCAATTGTTTCTCCCAGCGGTGGTTCCGCATCCCCTTGCTCACCACTTCTTGTTGTACCCAGTGGAAGAAACACAATTAGGTGATAACTTTCTGTCCGACGCTGCGGCCACATTATGTTTGACGCACCGAGCGCGCTTCACTCGCATGGGGATAGAAGGTTTCCAAGTATATATGGGATCCCTCCCAAACCGACCACTCCGGTTGCTTCTCCCAGCGGTGGTCCTACATTCCCTCACTCACCGCCTCTTGTTGTACCGCACCACCACCACCAAGTGGCCAGAGTCCCTAAATCTGTGTTCTCCTCCTCCTTCTTTGAGTTAAGGCTCACCTTCGTGCACGATGGTGGCACCTGTGATCGACGCAGCACCAGAGCAAAACACGAGGCCAGCGACTGGCCGCACACCACCACCACGCCACGGAAAGGGCAAGCACGCTACGTCTCCAACACTCTGGCCCCGTGGCCGCCGAGGAGGGACCTCATACCTCAGCGCCCTATGCGGCGGTGCGGAACTAACCATTCCCGGTTCGAGGCTAGCTCCGAACACGATCTGGTCGCTCGCTCCCCACTGCGGTCATCACCTAAATGTGTTTCTTCCACCGTGGCACAGTGGCATGAGAGCACAAGCCGTTTTGTCGCCTCTCCAGGCTGCTTAGCTCCTTTCCTCTTCCTCCCATTGGCGTGAAGGTATTGATATTACTTGTGGTATCATAGTACTCATACCGTGGCTGATATTTTCTGACGTTCCTTTTATCTCTGTGCTTTCTTCAGGGAATTACGCATTCTTCATTAAACCTCTGTCGGGCACCACAAATGCATCTCTGTCCACACGCAGAACAAAAAAGAATGGTGGAAAAGGAGTGAAGTAAATAGAGAAAAGAACAAAAAGTTACGACGCAAACAAGTTGGTGAACGTTTAACATTTTAGACAAAACCCCGAGATGGGGGAAGGAAGGGCGACACAACATGAAGCTGTGTTTGAGACTTCGTATTGTGCCGTCCTTCCTTCCCCTCCGTCTCGGGGTTTTGCGTAAATTGCAGAGAGAAAAAAGTAATTACCACCGTGATAATTAACTCCTTGTGCCTACCCCCTCCGACCCCCCTGCAAATTGAAACTCCCCGCCCCCCATTTTTAGTTCCCAAGAGGATTCGAATTCGGAACTTCGCGGCTTGTTCTACCAGAAACTTTGCGAAGAATCATTTCGCTCATATTTCCAGCCTTTTCCCAGCTTTTTTCGTAGCGTGAGCTACACTGGCCGAGGTTGAGCAGTTTCGCGTGGCTCCTGAAGAGCCGTGATGCGCATGCGCGTGGAGCAGTGACGTCACATGGTACACAACTGGCGCGCCGGAGCCGCCGCCACGCGCGCCTTGCCGGTCTGCACATTCCAGAGGAGTGACGTCATAGCCGCGGCAGACGCACTAACGCCAGCCGAGTGCAGCTGTAGCCTCCACCATGGTAAGGAAAAACTAGCGCCACGAGGCGCTAGTGGCAGGAAGGCGAACATACGTCTGGTCGGAGATTAAAATTGGACTCGAAAGACTGCCAGATGGCGCCACCACTGCCGTTGGCGTGCGCCGTGCGCCCTCCTCCTCCTGCCCCCCCCCCCCCCCCCCCCCCTCCCCCGGTTTCTTTCTTTTTTTTTTTTTCTGGTTTGTTTGCTAGACTGGTGCCCTGGTGCCGCGCCGGCCGCTGTGGGCGGCCAGCACGGCATCGGTCTAGCAGACGAGCCGCTCGCGATACACTTCACAACAACTGCGCTTCACGTGATAATACCAGTGCAATCAAACAGAAACAGCACGTTCATTGAAATGCATTTTTTTATTGAACCCCATTCAAATGAGTTGCGGTATTTCAAACCCGTATCTACAAACTCCGTTGGCAGTCCACCGCCCTCAAAGGGGAATCAAGAACTGTAGTAGGCACTAAACACAGTAAGGTTGTCAAATATGTAAAACGAAATTAATTACTTCAACGTACAAACTAAGAGAAAAACACTTATCATCGAATTATATATCTAAATGGCTCTAAAACAACTCCCACAAACTAAACTTCTGAATACCCAAACAAACAAATCAACCCCGAAATAAAGGAAAAGGCTTGCAGGTGAGCTGCATAAGAATAAACGATAAATAAATCATAAACAAACTCGCTAATAGGCAATGCAATTAAGAAAGAAAGAGAACAACTACTGTTTTGGAGTGACTACATCTGACTGTAGGTGCTTTATCGGTACTCTATCCTAACATATAAACACGAAGCTGTCAAATTAACTGAAGATTGCTCTGACAGCAACTTGTTGTAAATTCCTCGTCGCCAAAAATGTTGTATTAATGAAAAACTCGGACACCCGTAAAAAAAAAGAAGAGCAGGGCCTGCGTGGGCCTGCGGAAAACGAGGGGTCTTACATGCCGAAGAGGTGAGCGGCGGGCGCCGGCGGGGCCGGGCGCGGGAGCCCCGGACGGAGAGAGAGAGACGTCCGACGCGGTCGGTGGCTGGGTCGCTGGGTCGCAACTCATTTATTTAACGGTCAACAACGTGGGGGTTGAGCGCCACGGGGACGCAACCCTGATAACACGGACAATGGTGTAACGGTGGCGCCATCTGGTTAGTGTGGCGAGAACTACTTAAATGAAAAAATTGAAATACTACACAACTCACCCAGAGGAGCAAGTCCTTGCAGCAACGGATTCGTAACAAGAACGGTGGGGCACGCGTTTTTCCACAAACGAATCTTCCTACAACCAAATCTTGCAAACACGGTAGCGCCGAAGCGCTCGCTGCACAAACGCTGGCGCAGCTTGCTCGTCGGCAAGCCGGGCAGGCTTCCAAAGTCCCGGCGATTTGCATACGCAATCCATTTCGATGCTCTGATGGAAAAATCGAGTTTCGAACGCTGACAAAAAAAAAAAAAAAAAAAAATTGATATAGAGGTTCACCTGTCATCTGTTGGAAAGCAGAAGAATGAGCACTCCGAGGTTACTTCGCCGCGCTGTAGACTCCGTAAAACGCCGTCATGAGGCACGCAAAACACTCGGCAGAATCTCCGTCAAATTAGAGACGTACATCTCTAATTATTATAAGCGCGCAGCAGCGTCGCACCGTACTTGCCGTAAAATCCGCACTTTCGATTTTAGCACGCGCGGAACGGTTTGAAAGCTTGGAGTGACGAGCGAGCGCAAACAAAACAAAAAAGACAAAAACGGTCGTTTCCCTTCGCTCTTACTGATTGGTCGGAAGAGCCCAGAGTGCTTCGCTTTCGGTAGCGAAGGTCATATACACGTCGCCTGCGCTGAAAATCATAGCGGCGAATATGAGCATAACAGTTTGGTCGGAGTCGGCTGGGTAGACCTACCCTCTGGACCTACCACTGATCTCTATGACAATTGAGTCCTACGAATATGCTCTTTGGATGGACGTACGAGAGAGAAGCCAGCGACGCGGCGCCCCTATCGGCCCACCCGGGAACTCCGGAGCTGCATTCGGCTGCTAACGCCGCCGCATGCCCAGTTGTGCGCCACCGTTGCGCAGTAGCCAAGTTGGACGCTGCACCGGAGCCGCTTGATAGCGCCTCTCCTTTTGTGCGCATGTAAGCTCCTTCTGCGAGTGTAATTTAAATTTCGTTATGACACGGCAGGTGGCACAAGCCATTGCCTAATTCAGAGTTTTTGTGGTTTTTCGTCGTATTTAGCTATCTACCTAGAAAAGAAAGGTGCATAGTCCTGTCGTCCATCCATCCACTCGTCTAATTTAAACATGGCGCCGACCATGTGTTACTGAACGAGACAACCCAGAAAGGTTCCTAATTTTCAAGCAACGAAACTCGGGATGGCTCACAAGGCGAGCGGTTACATCAAGACCACGCTGAACAACGGAGTGGGCCGCTATGTCTGCCAGTTGCAGCGGTTGACGTTCAAATTCTGCAAGACCCACGGTTCGAGTCGGGGCCTTCGCGAGTACATCGAGAAGGAGCTCGTCGACTTCGCTCGCCAGAACCCGGGCATCGTGGTATACCTGAAACCCAGGAGACACCGCGACCCGGTCGTGGTCGCCGAGTACCTCAACGGGGAGCGAGACACCATGCGAGTCGCCGACCAGAGCTCCGCGGAGCTGGTCAAGTGGATCGAGTACCTGCGGACGCGGTCCGGCATGCCGATCGTGCGGCTTCGCAAATTCGCCCACACCGACCATCCCAGCATCCAGGGCAAGTACACGCTGAAGTACAGGGTGTCTAGAAACGAAAATTCACAATGGCCTTTTTTTTATTTTTATTGAAAGAGTTGACTGCGCCCGAGTTATGCTCCCATAGCCAAAGCCATGGGAGCATCAGTGACTGATGCTCCCATAGCTTTACAAACTCGTAGCTTGCTCCAATGGATCTTGACGCTAGTTGTATGCTTTTTCTTAGCTCTAGCCATGCTGATGCATCACCAGACTTGGATCTATTGGGTAGGAGATTGAGGAGTGGCACTCCCGAGTGGCCACCTCGGGAACTGAACTAACGCTGTGTGGTAAACAAACCCTCCGACTGCAGTCATTAGTGCATTCGCTGCCATGGAAGACGACGGCGTGAGGCTCGTGAAAGATATGTATAATCTAGTCCTCTCTTGCATTCAATGTCATCGAAGTCAGCTTGGAAGGCAGAAGTGTCGGCCACGCGCACTGGATCATCCGTGGCTGACGCGGCAGCCGCGTTTTTTTTTAAATTATTCACAAAACACATACTTAACCTTTCAGTAACCCCATCTCTTGCGACAGTCGTGGACGACATCGGCGAAAGCAAGCGGTGTCTCGCTGAAGGAGAGGACGTGCTCAAACGCGATCATGTCATTGAGTCGTCAGCACCACAGCCGACGGCGGGCAGTGTCCGCATCGTCGCGTACGTGCTGCTGTCCTCCACGCTGCATATACCCAGTTCAAATTCATGCTTGGATCGAGCGGTGCGGAATGCAGCAAGTGCGCATCGTATCACTATATGCAGCAAACTCGGAAACAATGCGGCCTACGCTGGGCGAGTGCTGGCATCGGAGTTGTTTGCCACACAGCGATTGTTTGTGGTGATGATGATGATAATGAAACTGCACCCCCTATAGACCAACACGCGGCTTTGACGTCACACCTCTGCGGTGGTGCTGTTGTCGCCACTGCGCATGCGCAGAAGCTTCACCTCATGCGAATCTGGTTCCTGCACTTGCGCAGTGCCCACACCTGGTGTGGGCAAACGCTGGCTTGTTTGTAAACAGTGTGTTGGTCTATAGTTCGATCTCGTCGCCAAAACTCGGGGACAACTTTTCTTGTCACTTCCGAGGAGACGAGGAAAGCGTGCGTGCATGTTTGATCAGCGTGCACACTTCTTTAATCAGCAGAGGTACCTTTGACTCCTTTGTCCATATCATTCAAACCTAGATTAAGAAATATTTCGTGGCATAGACTCCGTCAGATGCAACGGAGGTGAGATAGCACTTGATAGGGTTTTAACAAGCAACACTTTGTATCAAAATTTAAGGGAAAGACCGTGATATCACGTGACACCGTAATGTCACATGACATCACAAGGTCAGAGCAGCATGAGCAAGAAAGGTCCGTGGAGTGTTCCCACGTACAGCTATCGATAGCCTCCTCTGTACTGACAAAGCTTGGCAGAAAGTCGCGTGACGCGGCCACCAAAAGTGAAAAGGTAGGGCGGCAAACAACGGATAAGGGGAGAGTCATGCAACGGGTGCCCCGCTGCGGCGAGACGCCGAAGTACACTATACTTTTTTCTCGTGTTGTCGAGGGTAAATGGAACTCCACCCCTTCCTCGTTCCTGTTTCGGTTTTGTCTGTTTCGTTTGTGCTCAAAATTACTACGTCAATGAGTTGAGCGAGTTGGTTATTATGCATTATGGGTGGAACCAGCTGATCAATGAGCCTCAATAACCCTGCAACCTCAAGAAAAGCTCTTTCTGCAAGGCACCCTGTAAATAGTCAGTATAAATAGAAAAAAAGGGGCAACACAATTCGGGATTCAAAGAAAAAAATGGGTACGCATAAAAACTAATAGAAGAGGAGGATGATTTATTAAAATAGTTGGTAGTCCAGCGGTAGGTTGTCTTTTCTGTTTCTCCTTCCCTCATCGTTCAGTTGGTTCCTCCCGAAACGCTCGAAATTGTGGGGCAAGCTACCGGGGCTGATTTATTACAGATATTGATACACGGGAACAGCGTCGAAAGGCAAGTATCCCCTGCTTGGAGTTTTTGCCGGTCCATGCGCCATAGGGCACACAACTGCCCAGACAACGCAGGTGGTCTTGAGGGCGTCTTCAGCTGGTCTGTGGCTGTGGGAGTGCGGTAGTGAGTGGCGAGGACTGTGGCGTAGCCTCGACATCAGCAGCCAGTCGCATCAGTTTTTCCCGAGCCATAGTGAACAGTGTGTCTCAAGTCCTCGCCGCTCAAAAGCTGTGCGCTCACTACCGCACTCCTCGAGAAATAATCTGTGCTGCCAGATCCTTTGCTCTAAATCTGCGACCGGGGGCTCTATGGCGACATCATCGAACTGCCAGGCTTTGTGAGTATAGAGGAAGCTATGAGCTATTGCTTTAAAAAAAAAAAAAAATAATGGTGTTACATTTATATCGTTAATTAAGTTCTATTTTGCTTCGACGCTTTAGGGTTCTGGACGCCCTTTACAAACCGACCCACGGAGCTGAACCTCGAAGAGTTCCCCAGCGAAAGGCTCAGCAAGTTTGTCTCCGTTTTTCCCACGGCCACTGAACAGCTCCAGCAGCTTGCGCGGGACAGCGGTCTTACGCCGGAAGACAGCCCCGCTCAAAAAGACCCGAAGTGAACGTCCCTACGAGAGTCGAAGCTTACACGGCGACATTTGTAATGTGTAGATAATAAACTAGACTGAAATCACCCAAGGCACTTCGTGGAAGTTACGCTAAAAAGAAGGACTCAATGCTATGTACAAGTTTTATTTCGTCTGCAAATAACAAAGCCGTGCTCACATTTTTTACACACTCGAGGCAAAATGACAAGGGGCCAAGCTCCGCACGTTTCAGTAAAATGGCGGCATGCCTCGAAACCACCAAAACTAACAACTCTTGTCGACGCAAAACCAGTACACCGACTCCTCTGGGAGCGTGGAAAAGAAGTTTCTGGCAGAAATTGTGTATTTGGCTGTAGAATTTTACCGTCTGCAAAGGAAGCAGAATCGAAAATTCATTTACAAGTGTGGAGTTGCAGTTCCTACTTGCTGTTCCTAGCACCTGTACACAACGGTAAGCGCTTCAAAATATTTACGAAAGGCGAACGGTACATCTAGAACTTAAAAAGTGTTGACAGTATGACGAGAACTAAGCACGCTAAAAACGGTATTGTTCTAGTTGGTCAACAAGTATGAGACTTTGATGCAAGAGTGAAGGCATTGCAAGTTTGGCTCAGTTCGCATGCAGCTTTACTGGAAAGAAACTTTGAGTTCATGCCTTCTAAGCGGAAAGTTGATGCACATGATGCCATTATCAGGTGCACATTCAAGCACCGAATAATGCGGAACAATTTTATTGGTCTTTAAATTATATCTATGGGCCTGCCTCATTACGAGGCTCAGGAGATAGCAAGTAGACACTGATTCGTTTAGTCAACATACAGCGTTAATGATAAATAGCTGATCACAAAACAAGATAAAAAAATAATGAATGATGACACCTCCAACTACCAACATATGAAACTGATCAGGTGCAAACCAACATGCACACATTACAAGACTGCTACCACAACTCGATCTCCATTTCTGCCAGCACACAAAGACCATGTGTCGCACGACACCAACGGTGCTTTCTGATCCTAAAGTAATGTTTGCAAAACTCTATCAAGATTCACGTCACTATATGGCTGTAGTGTTCAAAACTACGGTGCTAAGGTCCATCTGTCTACAGCACTACAGGACAACTTGCTCAAGTAGTAACAAATCTCGCACGGGCATTCATCAAACAGTATTTACATGCACGGTAATGTGGTTTGAGCAATCTAATGTGTCATGCCACAGCAATCCCAGTTGTAGCTGATGCCTCACCGTTTCACAAGTCGTAAAACAATCAGTATCTCTTGGTCACCTAGCAGACTTCCGTTTCAACTCCTTCACACTTTCCTCCAATGCTCATGCAACAAAGTAAGAAGTGTTCTTGATGCTACATGAAAACGATTACATTAATGTCCCGACAGCAAGTTGATGTACTATGACTGTTTGAAAACTGGAACAAACACCACTTAAAACTGGCACCTGCATGAGGGCACTACTTCGTCAAACACTTGAATTCTGCCAAAAAAAGAACATGATGAAACAGTATGTGATTTGGCACAAGCCAGAACTTCAGTGTAAATGTGTAGTTGAAAACCATGTGCTACGTCTTCAACATGACGTCTTGTCGGGTGTTAGGTACTGCTTCATATTTTTGATGAAACGCGGGGCACTGTTTCATCTTTTGTTGCGAACCACTTCACTCAAAGTTGCCAGACTGCCAATAAACCACAGAGACAAGTGAAGAGGCAAATTATGTATGTGAAAGCCTAAGATTGCAAATTACTTTTGTGCGCAAGGTGAGATGAAACTCAACACGGCACTGCCAATCACTTTGAAAGCAGGCAAGTGGGCGACAGATACCCAACTAAAGACAAATCTAGAGCTTTTCAATTTAGCAACCAACATCCACTCTGGTGTTCCAACTTCTTGGTTCATTCATTACAATTCTCAACTCTGTTGAGTTTCTCAGTTCTAGTACTGTGGGATACAAGTTCCATAATTAGCAAGATGCACTTTACCAGGAAAAGCAGAGAAATTTTAGGACACAAACGCAAAACGACCCTGAAGTGAAGAATGGTATGCTAACTGCACATTTGGGCGAGTTGGTAAGAGTTCATTGCAAAAAGCTCAACTGGGACGAGGACAAAGAAGAAAGATACGCAACCGCGTCACTTTCACGTTTCTGTTTTAATGAGGTATTGGTTACTAGTCGGTGCTTGTCCTGCGTATCTCTCTTCTTTGTCCTCGTCCCATTCGTGCTATTTTTCACTACTTTCAATGCATCCGGCACTCTAACACAAGTGGGGCGCAACAAAAAGTCATCCAAGCTGAGCTGCATCATACGCCACAGAAACAGGGGGTGCTTCACCACACAAAAGGCCACTTTCTTCCTTCCCAGTGCAAGCACACACCCAGCGTGCACCAGAGGCATGTCGGGAGTGTTACCAATGTGGCCACATACACAACAGGCGAAAACGGCTCACACATCTTGGCACATGCGTGTTTTCTATGTACAGGGCATGCAATTTCGTGGCCACGTCACGTCCACTGGCTGACAGACACGTTTCCTGCAATCACAACTCTGTTTCGTGCAAACCGACCGGACAAGACACATCAATTGGCGAGCTCATAATTACTAACGCTGCGATTGCAGAGCAATCTTTTGCTGTCACATCAGATTGGTTGGTGATTACGAGTTGCCGACACAGCAAGTAGACAAATGCTGAATTATAAATATGCCTCGGGCACACACAATGCTGAAACCTCCCTTTTTTTCTTTTTGTTTTCTAAAGTCAAAAGATCAGATCACAGTTTTATAAGCAATAAATTATGGTTTATAAATTAGCTTAAATATCCCCCTTCTCCTAATTTTACTGTTATGTCACTACAGTTGATTGCCGTTCACTGGACTGTATACCTGCGCCATTTGGACGTGTCTACAGCAGCGCCAAAAGAATGGAGTGGCGAGTGAGGATAATATGCTGCCACGAAAGTCAGGCTTTCGATTTCTACATCCTCTAAACCGATTTTGTCTTTGTTACATGATCACATACTACATACAGAGCTAGTCGACTATTTCACAATTTTGGCTCAAGAAGTGTCAAGGTATTCGTGTCCGTAAAGCACTGTTTAATACCACTAAAGAAAAATACATTTCAAAAACCCTAGTTTAAGCACAGAAGAGGCGAAAAATATTTGCATGGCGACATCCGGCAACATCTGAATGTTGCCGGATGTTGCCGGAAAAGATTTTATACGTCGATTAAACTCATGCAGTCAAAGTGACGTCCCAGTTCTTGGCTCGAAGGTACACTGTCCTTGCCTGTAGTGCTCTATCTAGCGTTCTCAACAACTTTGCTAAAATGCCAGCACACTGTGGCGCACTTACCAGACAGTTTGTCTTACTTCGTCACAGCTTGTTCAGGGCTGTTTCGTAGGGGGAGATGAGCTAAAAAATACGCTACAGGTACCACAGCTACTAGCTTGCAAGCTGGGCTACATGTGCTGCACACTACCGCAAGACACGTGCATGTTAAAGTGCACCTACGGCAACTCTGAAAAAAATATATATGTGGCTATGTATACGCAAAGTCGTAGAGCAAATCTTCATCGTGATGCAGCACGAAATATCGAGATGCACATTGCAAGAAGCCCCTTTGGCGACACACTTTGCGCTTCACTTCAAGATTGACGATTGCTCTGGGGGTATTGGCTCTTGGACGTCTGAGAAATGTAACGCCGTTTATTACTATGACGTAAAAAAAAAGCTTTCCCCCAAGTTCAATTTAATCTGTTCCTGTAGTAAGCAATGCTCATGGCAACATCTAAATATAAACTTTATAGCATGAAATAGGATTTATTCATTGGCAAGAGCATTATTTCAAATGTATAATCCAAACCAGAGTGGAGTGGGGCTCAATTGGGTCGAACATGCTTTAGACAGCAAAAACCGCTTCTGTAATCACACTAATGTGTTGCTAAAGTTTTGCTTGGCTGGATTTTTTTTTTTTTTTTTTTATGTTGGGAGAATAATTTTTTGGAGGGAACAAATTTTTTCCACACCAGTTGTTCCCTAAACTCTACTCATTGAAGCCAAGAAATAGCAGTGAACTTTTTTTCCGTTAGATCAAAGGTTAAAACAACTTCCCAGTCAAACTTAGATCAAAGGTTAAAATGACTTCTCAGTCAAACTATGTAATCCAGTAGTATATTAAAAAAAAAAAAAGAAATAGCATTGTCTAGTTGCATTAGAGTGATCAATTACAGTATTTTATTCTGACAAATTAAGTAATGACTTTTGCAATCCATTCAGACCATGCTCAATCCATTTGAGCCACGATTTAAGTTTGCACAATTTGGTGCCGGTAACACTATACAAGCCTCACACTGTCACAGAGGAATGCTGTGCACACGTTGGTTCTGGAACAGTTTGGCACAACGCATCACCATCACGCTCACGCATTTGGCATCACAAGGGAGCACAAGAGTGTCGGAAAACTTTCACGTCATAAACTGGCACATGTACAGTCAGTGTTTATGGGACAGCACTGTAACATTGTTGTAGCATTAGTGCTCTTGAAAACATTGCTACTATCACAACGGGCTGTTTTGACAGAGGCATTAGCGAGTCAATGCTAACGCTATAAAAGGTCCGTCAAGTCAACTTGATACCACAGGCGGCATTTCCATTCATAACACTGTTCTCTGCAAATATTCAGAATTTTCATATTCTTTACAGAAACCAACCAACGGCATTTGAGCTGTGCCGCAGATTTGGTGATTGGACAGTTTGCGAAACTGCCCTCCAGACGTCTTCAAGGACGCTCACTGAAAACTGAAAATACTGTATGCACAAGTTGGCACAGCACAATCACATTATTGATATCAAACCTCAAGTTTAGTGAAAGCATTTGATTGCTTTAGTAATCATTTATAGTAGTACTTCTACAGCAGTCTATGCTCACTTTTCATGTTTGCCTTAACATGCTGTTATATATTCCAAGTAAAACAGGCTTAGACAGATATTTTATTTTTATTACAACTCTTCAGAGCTTTAAGCTCAATTTCAGTACCTGGCTCGATCTACCATAACGTTTGCTGATCAATCAAAACGAGAAACCTTCAATGTCTGATCAGACGTTAAAGGAACTTTTTAAAAAGATGGACACAAATTGTTAGCTTCAGACAGAATACGGATGTACGTAGTTGGATGCTAGCTCTGTAAAATACTCGGTGGATGTTTCACTTAAAGAGATGCGAGTTAGTAAGTGCCCTTCCACCGCTTGATGTTCCCCCATTTAAATTTCAATGACTATACTTCAGTCGATTGCCTAAAAGAGTAAACTAAGGCAAGGAGTTTCTAAAAAAAAAAAGTGAGATCTGGCACATATGCACTTGTTTGAGATTAGCAAGAGCTAAGAAACTGCCATAAAAAAACATTTGTCACTGAGCAAACATATTTAAGCTTCAGATCACCATAGATTCCTGAGATTAAGCATAGCCCTCTCCACCCTAAATATTGTTAACAGAGAGCAGATTGGTTCTGTTGGGCAACGTTTGAGCTATGATTCCTTTAACCCAGCATATCTTTGTTAAAAAAAAACGGCTTAGAACTAGGGCAGTAATATGTACTACTTGCTAGGTACATGCCGTTCAAAGTGTTTCAGCCCTCTGTATGCTTCAACGGGTCAGATGACCAAACTTTGCAACTCTGTCGCGTCGTTAACAATTTTCGAGCGTAGAATTCTTGCGTTGCGTCACTCGGAAATAAAAACAGTGACGGCAAACAAGTCACGACGGAAGAAAGTGGCGTTCAATACCCGCTAGCCTTTACTTTCAAAGTTGGCGTCACAATTACAAGTCGAAATCCCGACAGTTTGTGACAGTCGCCCTTAACACAAAGCATCTTGCCAAAAAACACAACAACGATGAATTCCCCGAACAAAGAGCTGGGGGGAGGGCACCCTTTCCTTTTCTTGCTGGTTCCCACACTTGTGACCGCTTACGACAGAGCGCTTGAAAACCTCACGCTGGTGCCATCCACAAGGTGACCCTGGAACTGCATTTCAGTATAGAGCGAAGGTTTTGCAGTATTTGCAAGATAAAATGTACATATCATCTATGAGAAATGGAAATAGTCGTTTATAACATTGTCAAGGGTTTTTTGAGCTGAGACAAAAAGAATGATGCGCAAAAAAAATGGTACATATACGGAGCTGCCAAGTGTTCCACAGCACATCAATAGACAGTGCCCCAATGTCCTCTCGTCTTAAGAGATTTTAAGGAGTTTTAAGGCACTTGGTCGTAAGCAGTCACAAGCCTTGACCGGAACACTACCCAGAAAAAAGAATTTTCTGCAAAAAAAAGTTGTCTTTGAAAGATGCCCTATTTAGATCCACCAACACCTAGAGAGTATTCCCAGAAAGTTTCATTTGTTTACACTGCATAGTTTTTTTGTTTTTTTTATAAAGTGTTTTCATTTTTTTGGTGCTAAACAAGGTTCAATCACTTTGAACGCGTTTTTCTTTGTTCCACTTTTTGGCATCAATTTCACTTTAGGAAAACAATCGTTTTGTCACGGGACAAAGGGAAAGGCTCACTCATTGTTTTTCCTAACTGGAATTTCATAAGCAATGCAACTGTGGCATTGTTTTCTTTTTTTTACTTTGTGGATGTCTTTTATAAAACATGTTAAAGGGGCCCTCCGGAGCTTTCTGCGATCGTCTGTTTATGTTGTTATATTGCGTAGTAGGTGCAAGTTAATATGTATACAAAGTTTTAGATTACCAAACCGTTTATTAGGCAGATGGCAGAAGAAATATATCGGGACTATTTTCTCTTGGAAGACAATCCCCCATTCCCTGCCCACCGCTAAAACTTGACCAATGGAAATGCTGCATCTCGCGGTGAATGCGAACGTTATTATTGCAACAGTTTTTAAGCTTGTTGTAAATTAGAGTTTGAGAAAAACGTAAACTGATTGTGGTGCGGGAAACATAGTCCGCAATTATCGCTCTAAGACCAGCGAACTATGTTTTCTCCCCGCAAGCTTGTTGCTAGGGGGTGATGTGTCGGCTCGTCTGCTTCCCGGGGCGTCTGCAGGCGTGCGTTTGCGGGACATGTGTTCCTTCTTCCCGTGGATCCCGACTCCGAAGTCAGCTTTGCGATCCTTCCACGTCAACGAGTCAAACTTTTCCTTGTCATCTGTGGAATGCGACTGCGTATTGCAGTAGTAATGCGACGGTGCGGTGCGACGAACGACGACGGCCGAGCACAAAGACCGAGCTCTTTGACGACGGTCCGCGCGTGTTCGAGAGATTCCTCCGCGGGTCGGCGGTCGGCCGCGTTGGTGACGCGCAGTGACGCCGGAATCCTTCGCTTGCTATTGGCTGACGCGTAAAGAGATGCCCCTCCCGTTTTCCGGGGTCATCTCAGAAAGGGGGGCATGCCGGGGACTTTGGTAGCAATTTTAATAGAGAAATCCGCCGCGCATGACCGTAATTTTATGATTTTTAGGATCCTTAGGGCCTGTAGATTGAGTTACCGCCATAAATAGACCATCGCAGAACGCTTCGGAGGGCCCCTTTAAGATTTGGTCGATGACATAAAGAGCAAAAAATGTATTTGATTTTTTAGCGCAATGTTAGCTAAAATAAATAACTTCTTGGAAATTTAGTTTTAACAGTTGCACTCTCCAGGCATTCTAAAGCACGTATAGCGAAAAAAAAAAAAATAAAAGTTGTGTATTACATTAGTTTTTTAACGATAGTTCTCCTAATCAATGTACAACTATAATTTCTTTCACAATTCATGTACACAGATGAAACTTCGCACAGCATTCTGCCTCACAAGTGCCAGTATATACTGCAAAGGTCATTAAGTTCAAACGTTGACCCCTTTGGGTAGCGCCCTCCCTTAACCAGCCTTAACAAAGCGTCTCGCCAAAAACACGTCGACAAATGCCCCGAAGGACAAGGAGTCGGGAACAGGGAAGTACCCTCTCCCTTCTACACAACAGGATCGTCGCGGTTATCCTCGTCTGCCCCGCAGACGATGGTCGAAGAGCTCGTGGCGCCCGACACGTGGCGCGGACTCGGGTCGCCGTGGAACGTCACGCTCACCACGGGGAGGCTCACTTTCCGGCGAGCCCCGTGAGTCCGCGCCGCCGCTGCGGCCGCCGCCGAGAGGCTACCTGACCGCTGCCGGAACTTCTTCTTCCCCGACCGCTTGACGGCCGCCGCGCCGTTCAGCACGGCGCTCAGCGTGAGCGGCTCCAGCTCGTGACTCTCGCTCGCCGGAATCTGCGCCGAGACCGCTGGGCAGCTGGCGCTGGACGTCGATAGGGTAGACTCGGAGAGCGCGTAGACCGTCTTGTCGACGGCCGGCGGGGCGGAGGTGTCGCAGCATCGGAGCGAGGGGTAGTCGAGCTGGAAGCGCCCGCGCTGCGGTCCGGCCACGCTGAGCAGGGACTGGAAGAAGAAGGTGGCGTAGGTCCAGGACACGCCCGTGACGAGCATGAGGAACGTGCCCACTTGGAGGTAAGCAAGCACCAGCGAGGGAAACATGAGGGCGCCCGAGAGGAAGGTCGTGAAGGCCGCCATGGCCACGGGGCTGCCGATGCGGGACAGCGACTGGATCACCGAGGACTCGCGGTCTTCCTGCGGGAACGGGGTGCGACCGTCGGGTATAGGCCGGCGTCGTTTGAAGAGGCAAACTCGAGTAAGTAAGAATCGGACAAGAAAATCTGAGATTGTGTCTTGGTAGCTCCCATTGAGAGCCATATACATAATCTTGCTTCATGCGAGAAAAAAAAAAATCCATCTTTTTCTGAAATTGTTGATTCGAGATATTTCAGCACAAATGCGCGCATTTCGGGTGGTAACAGGAGTCCCTTGCTTGAAAGCCTGCCATGGTTGCTTGTGAGTTGATTGCATACAAATGCATATTTTTACTCCAGAACCTCCAGAAAAAGATGCATTGGCAAAAAAAGGTTGAAAAGAAGAGTGTGCTATAGACGATATTTAAGAAGCTTGAACGAACACAAACTGCTGTCACATAAAAGCCATTACGATCAAACGTGCGAGGAAGACTAATAATAAAAACCAGGATAGAAAATTGACGCATAGAAGTGATCCACGGCAACAAAACTGAGCCAGCCCGGGGTGCACTGCAAACTATAGTTAATTTCTCAATTTTGTTTAGCATAAACATAAAGGATTTACAGTCAGTCCCAGGACATAACATGACTTCAATACACCTTTCCAGTGCTTTTCAGACGGGCAGAAAATGCCAACGTACTGGACCGTGGACGCATGCATGGCGTCCGATATTCCACTGAAGAGGACTACCGTGCATGCTCGTAACGCATTCCGCAGTCCAGGAGGCGAAGATGGCCTTTCACAGAAGGTGGTTTCAGTCATGTATTCATTAATATGAACACTTCCGTTACCCCCAAAAATCATCCATAATGCGAGCTGTTTGCAATAAGGAGACAAAAATGCGCACATTTCTGTTCCCAAAAAGCTTGTATATATAGGGGGCATCCATACTAGCGAGACGTGACTGTATTGAAATGGTCTATACATGGTGCCCCTTTGTATAACGCTCTCTCGAGGGTGACCTACTGGTTTCTGCACTATGAAATCCATCCTCCGACTTCCTCTTTAGCAGTACACTCTCTATAACACTCTCCCGCAATGTTCGAGACACGTGCAAGCACAGAGAGGAGTACCTGGGGAGACAGCCTGTAGGCGACGCCGTAGTGGATGGTAAAGTCCACTGCCAGCCCGATGGCCACCGACACTGTGATGCTCTCGAGCACGTTCAGCTTCCAGCCCAGCAGCACCAGCGCCCCGACCGTGGTGAAGATGATGCAGGCGATCGTCACGATGGCGTACAGGCTGACGAGCAGGTTCAGCGTCGTCACCAGCAGCGCCACAAACGACACACTCACCGCCACCCCCATCGCCACCAGCGTCCCGCGGGACAGGCTGCCCTGCAGGTCGTAGAACTCCAGCTCGCTCGTGAACCAGCCGTTGCGCATCCCCGCGGGGGCGCCCTGCATCTCCCTGCTCACCCACCCGTCCACCCGCGTCCGGAACGCGTCCATGTCTGCGTGCGCGTTGGAGTATGTGTACACCGAGTCGTACTCCAGGACCACGGCACCGACGCGTCCGTCGCGGAGAAACCGCGGGCCCGCCACTCCGGGGATAAAGTAGTAGCCCGGCGTGTGGTGGAGGCTGGCGATGGCGCGCCGCAGGCACAGGCCGAAGACGTCCTCGGCGTAGGGGAAGCGGCTGGACTCGCAGCAGGGCGAGCGGTCGGCCTGCTGGAAGCTGTCGACGCAGCGGCGCTCCATCCAAGACTTGAAGGTCTCGATGAAGCAGCCCGAGTAGAGGGCCGCACCCAGGGTGGGCCGGTGGAAGGACTGAGAGCGCAGCCGCTTGCAGAAGGAGAGCAGCCAGTCCTGGGAGGACGGGCGGGCCACGTTGAACGTGGGGTCCAGCTCCAGCGAGCCCCGGTCGAACGGGTCCAGGTAGTTGCCCGTGTCCACCGGAAGGACGCCCCAGACCACACGGATGGGCAGCTTGTGGAACGGGTCCTGGAGGAGCAAAAGGGCAGGCGGTCTTTGTTTCCAGTTAATGCTAGGGTCTCACACTTTTGTATACTCCGTCTCGTACTTCGCGTGCAACGGCCGTCGAAGTTGCTGGTGCGAGCAAGGGGCTCGATCTGGCAGTTTGTTCTCTTACAAAAATGAGATGCTGGGCGAAGCCATGCGTTACAGGAGCTTTGACAGCGTCACTCACAATCACTGACAAGGTGGGAAAGGCAGGGAGGAGCTTCAGTTGCTTGCCTCCAGTGTGAATTTCCTAGATTCGAAAATGCTTCGGCATCTCGTGCACCTTGAGCGCATGCACATATCTAAAGCACAGTGGAAGGCGTGGAGCATGTGCCGAAGGCCAGGGTATTTGAAAGGCACGCCCTGCCATTCTCAGCCTGTCGGTAACAATAGGTGTGAAGTGTGTCCATTGAGTGCACTTACTGAGCGCCAGTGCACTGCAGATGTCGCTTCTCTGCAGCGCACCGGTGCTCGGTAAGAAGCATGCTCAATGGGGCTAAGTTCACAATAGGCAACATTTTTACTGGATGAACAAGCTTATTTTATTTTGAGGTGCCATTTGCTATCTAAGCAGTCCACGACAGACAACATTTTTGAAGGATGAATAAACTTATCTCATATTTACTAGTTGGATTGTGTAGAGGAAATTATCAAATATCTGTTTTGTATGTGTAGTCATCTATATAACAAATCATAATTTTAACTTGCATCATATTTAGATGAATTTCGGATGCCGATAGCCACCCATGGATGTCTAACTATGTGCAGAGCACTCCCTATCATGTGCATTAATGTTCACAATGTCTGTGGGCTCCTGCACTACTTTAAAACATCAATGCAGAGTTTGAGAGGGATTCCTCCACCATCAATCAGGAGAGATGGGTGTTCTTTGAGTTTGAAGAACTTAAGAACCCCAGGTTTAAAAGCCAAGGTAGGTTAGGTTAGGTCGCCATTTAAAGTAAGGAAATTACACTCAACCTGTTCAGTAACTAGATTTAGATGGCTCATAACGCCGACGTTGGGCTGCATTGTATCATGCTGTCCAGCTTACTTTCTTCTTCCCAGCCAGGTCATGAACCGTTGTGTCAAAGATGATACATACCCTACCCAAAACTATGGAACGCAACTTTGACCACTGCATTCAGCGTCCTAAACTGCCTTACACATTAAGAGTAACCACAAAGTGGCAACAAATTACGTCGCAGGCGCCGACGTGCCATGCCGTCAGACATCGCAATCCTAGCAGCTACTCGTGAAGCTTAAACGAAAATCATGAGCAAACAAATGCGTCGCCGTCGTCATGGCGTCCCGGCTCGTGGCTGCTGAAGGCTCCGTGAACTGCTGAGTTAAAGGGCGACCTCTCTACCTCCGTTGCTGCGCTGCCATGGGGATGGAAATCGAGGGACCGGTGGCCGGCACTTTGCCTCGGAGCCACCGAGGCGGCTAAAGGCCCCGGGCTAGCTGTGGTACTGCATTGGCTAAGTTTCCCACCTACGGCGTAAACCGGTGTTGCCATACCTCAAAAGCAGACGGACCTTACACTGTCTAGACACGAAAGCCCAATCTGTTTTTTTATGTACCGAAACAAGGAGAACTGTAGCCGCACCTTGTTGCGCGCCTTCTCGAACCAGAAGCGCTTCTTGAGCTCAAGGTCGTAGCGCTCAAACGGGTGTCCCGCGCTCAGCACCTGGAACTCCTTCGACTCTGGGAGGCTGAGTCGCGGCCGGCAGAGCACCACAAACGCGCCGGCCGCGGCCAACGCCGCCAGCGACGCCAGCCAGAACCAGCGGAGCCGGATGACGGCGCATGGCAGAAGCTTATCGAAGAAGACGCGCGACGCCTCGGAGCAGCTGTGGTGCAGGCGCCAGAAGGCGGCGCAGAGCGGGGAGCAGCACCAGAAGCGGCCCAGACGGGGCAGGTAGACGCCGAAGGGAGGCACGCACAGGCAGCAGGCCGAGGAGCACCACTTCTCGGCCACAATGAGCGCGGCGGGCAGCCAGGTGACCGTGAAGAAGAAGTTGGCCAGCACCGCCGTGCCCGCAAACAGGCTGTGGATTAAATAGACTCCAATTACAATGTGCCGCAGCGTACGTTACGAGCCGCACTGGCCGATCAAGTGCTCGATGCTTGCTACGTAACGTCGCACTAGGCACGTCGCTTCACCCAACCAGAAGTTCACGTGACACGCTCCAAACTGCGGGTTGGTTCCGGCGGCTCGTAGCATCAGCTCTGATACAAGGTCAAGTTTTAGGTTTTACGAGCCAAAGCAACGAAGGGCCTATCTAGCGTGCCCCAGAGGAGAACAGAGGATTCATTTCAGTCACGTGGGGATTTTTCGACACGCAACCAAAATCTCGGTTACGAGGCATTATATGGCTCCGTCAAACTCGGGGTGCCTCAGCTGGGATCTGAACCCGCCACCTGGGGATTCGTAGACTGGCGCTTCGCCTCGAAGCCATCGAGGGGGTGTTAGTTATGTCACATCAAAAAGTGAAACGGATTATAGTCTAGGTTGGCTAAGGTGACATACACATCTAGATTAAGGCCCGTTCACACTCTTGCGACTGCTTGCGACCTCTTAAACCTGGGTTCCTTAAAACTTCTTAAACCAGAGAACACACTGGCGCCATCTATTGGGAAGCAGTGTAAACTCGGCGGTCCGGCAAATTTTTTTTTATTTCTCGCGCAATATCCTTTCTTTTTTGGCTCGAAAAGCTTTTGTCAATGTTATAAACGAGCCTTTCTATGGGTATTACGCACATTTGACTTCGGATATCCCGCAAAACCTTCGCTTTTGTGAAATGCAGTTCTAGGGTCACCGCATAGATGGCGCCACAATGTCAGTGTGTTCCCTCATTCTAGAAACATTTAAGAAGTTGTAAAAGATCTCGTCTCTCTCAGTCATACTCGGTCGCAAGAGTGTGAACGGGCCTTTATGTTAGACTTGGGGGTTAGGTTAGATAAGCATAGGACGACTGCATACCTATGCTTCAAGAGCACAGTGTCGCATATACAGCTACACTTCGGAAGCAAAGTGTCGTGATGGTCAGCCGTTTTGTGTCCAAGTATTGCAGGGAAGCGACCCTCGTTCTTGCAGGAGATGTGGAGGCGTGCTGCGATGCACGGGCATGCACAAGCTGTGCCTGCTGCTTACCCATGTACCATTGCGCCTCTTCCTCAAAAGTGTGCGTGCACAATGAGACATGTGCATGCTTCTGGGAGGCAAACTGAGAGGCAAGCGTTGCCTAGTCTTTGTGACGGGCACTTTAAAACGTCACTCGAAGTATAAAGATACGACGACACATAAGCCAGGAGGCACACACTATTTTTGATAGTCAAAGCTTCTGGCTCTTTATATTTAGGAGGAAGATATAAATTTTGCCAATGCCAAGTGAAAAATATGTTCCTCCCAAAACTTGTTGCTCTGGAAGGTCGCTTCCCCGCAGTACTTCTGGACGTTTTTTGCGCTTGTGGCCACTTCTCTGCCAATAAAGCTTTGGCAGTGCATGTAACTGTCGCCTCACCTATTTCGTCACCCTAGCTAATGTTAGTTTATGTTATGTTCAGTAATTGGTTTAGCTATAGGTGACGTGTTAAACTAGAATATTTAATAGTTAAGCTGGCACAATAAGAGCCCAATCTGAGACGTCATCGTTTTGCAATGCGCTGCTCTAAACTGACGCCGAGTAAGACACTTCCGGTCAAGGAACGGCTAGGGGAATCGAAGTCACCTGAAGCAGCGCACGGCAGTGATGGAGCTGCTGAAGCTGGCGAAGAAGGCTGCCGCGGTGGTGACACTGGTGACGAGCATCGAGAGGCAGGCGTGGTGCAGGGTATCGCGCACCAGCTTCACCAGCGTCCCATTGTTCTTCTCCGCCTTGGCGCTGCCCCAAGTCTTGCAGTAGAGGAATGCATCGTCTGCACCTATGCCTGCACAGAAGGTAGGCATCCCATACTGAGAGTTTAAGACACACGCATACATCATAGTGCTAACTAGCGCAATAGACAGACACAGAATTAGAATTATCAGGACACAAAAAGCATGTGCATGAAAGCCACGGCATAAGAAAGAAGGTTAGGTGAAGACACTTCTCCCAAGCTCCCCAGCGAGCTTGCGAACAGATTGTGTTTTCCTCTACCTTCTCTCCCATTAGCTCTTCTCCCCGGGCGGCCGCAATGGCGCTGATGTTGGGGGGCCACAGGGAGCAGACGACGTCCACGTCGTCTGATTGAGGGAATGTTGTACGATGCCTTAAAACATCGCTCACATTATAAAAAGACCGCAATCACACAGCACCTTGCTGTCATACAATGTCCAGGGGTTGAACGAACTTGTAGCATGTCGGATTTGGGTGTTAGATTGACACTTCAACAATGCTTATCAAAAAGTGTATGCCTTCCACTATGGCTCCGCCCAAAACGCGGTGTTGCGTGAGGCCCCTCCCCGAAGTACTTTTCAACAAATTTTGCACGTGTAACCGCTTTCTCATTGATCAGAATTATTGGCGGGAAATCAAGAAAGTTTCGAAGTAAACGCGCAAACGGCCAGTTTCGACTTTCTTGCCATTCGCATGCTTACATGCCAGGATCTCGATCTCCATCTGTCGAGCAACTCAAAATGGGCAAGTAATGTTTTGTACCGAATGGTAGCTCTGAACACTGTTTCTGTAAGGAGCAAAATGTCCTCATTTAATTAAAGTACCTGCAGACCTTTATCGCCTCCCATTATGGAATCATGCGATTCCCCACTTTGACCGCAAGCTTCAGCCCAGCGATTGTGTTTGCAAAAAAACACTTCAGCCCGCATCTGATTTTCAAGACCTATAACATGGAGCACGATGGGAAAGTACAGCTGAATGCACTGAAAAGGTCAGTACTCTCGGCAGAAGTGGTGCCATCAATTTTTGTTTTTTAAGTGTCCAAAGTACTCGTCGTAGGCGTCGTCCATGCCGCCAAGGAAAGTGCCGAAGAAGCGACTGCTCGTTTTTCATGAACTTTGCAAAGCGACGCTGCTCGCAAATTTCGTCTAGCGTGGCGGCGATCGTCGACACCACCTGAGCAGCGGTGCCTCCGACGACCTGTTCTGGCAATAAAACAAACCACGCGAAGGAAGGTGTGGGGAAACATGAGGAAGCAGAACCACCGGTGACCCAAGCCGCAAGGAACAAAAACGTCGCGGGCACGGTGTCACAGCAGAAACCACCAGTGACGCATGCTGCGGAGGAAAAAAAGAACATTGTCACGGGCAGTCGCGGGCATGGTGTTTGCAACAAGTGAGCATTGCAAGACCCTCTCGAAAGCTGAAGGCCCTCCCCAGTCGGTAACGGAGTACTTCATAGTGGGCACACACGCACTCTCCAACACTGAATTTGCATCAGTATCTCCGTCGATGATGTCTTCTTCTTGTTGCAAAACGGGGCACTTCAAAAGAGTTGAGAAGCTTGCTTTTTTTTTCCGACTGAATCGCACACACGGCAGCTTCCAGCAGCATTCGTGGCACCATTTCTGAGAATACAAAGGCCCCCCCAGTAACAGTGAAGCGCCACCTACATCAAAAAGTACTGGAGGTGAGAGTAGGAGCCAACATTCTTAGGTTGCCCTCGTGGCGGAGTGTCTTCACCTAACCTCCTTTGTTACACCGTGATGAAAGACAACTGGAGTTTGATGTCACCACTGCTCAGAAGACTGATGACCTTATTAATTCTTTTTTTTCTTTACTCTATTTTTATGTTAGCTAGAATGAAGAAAAATGTGCCTGTCAGTGGCTTTTTGACATAGATCCTTCGAGCCACGGCACTTTATCTAATAACGATAATTACAAGAATGATCATTATTGTTATTGTAGCTATAACAGCACAACAAATGGTTATCGAAATCAATATTTATGTATAGAGTGTTTTCTTTTAAGATGGCAAACATTCAAAACAAAGAGGACATGAACAAAAGAAACTAATTTCTGCAAATAACATTACTGATCGCACGGGGCACGAGTATAAAAACACAATTAGTGTTCTAAGTGATAAGTGATTTATTTGCAAACTAACAAGTGTGTATTCGGCAGTGTGCCAGGCAATGCAGAGGGGTAAAAACTCTTACGCGAATGCGTCTGCTTCCACACCGCCGAGTATAATGATGATGAAATGGTACAGTACAAATGAATCCTGTGAATAATGACAATGATGACCGGATGATGAAGAGGGTGAAGAAGAGAGTCAGGTTTAGCAGCGGTCTTCACGACGGTGCTCTTTGCGGGGCCGTTATGGGCTGCTGACTTCTAGCAGGCCAGACTCGAGCGCCTAGCAAAGGCTCCCTGCTTGCCCAGCATGCAGACAATCCGGCTGAATTTCCGGTAATGCAGGAAGTCCAGCACCCCCGTGGTGAAGCTCCAGGGGTTGGCACCAATGTTGGCCGGGCAGCGGTCTTCGCCGCTGCCCGGCCAAACATTTTTAGTTGTAACTAAAACGCACTAACTTTTCAACTCTTCGTTTTAGCTGACATATTTCAATTGGTGATTTGCTGCCCATTACTCATTTAGGACAAATGAGTTAATAAGTTAGAAAAAAAAAAATCTTCGAGTGATCTTGTGACGAATGTAGGTAGCTGTGGCAGCTGTGAACGTGTGGCTAAAGGCCCACTTGCAAATACATTACAGCACTCAGCGCTATCTCGGCACTATTAGTCAGCACTTTGACACTTGTCGCCATACATGTCTGGTGGCGATTACACATTTAAAAGTGCCTGCCTAACTGCCGACCCGCGGGCTCTGCAAGATGTATCGCTATCTGCTGTCTTTTGCAAACTATATAGACGTCTTATTTGAACGGCGTTTCGCTTTGCTGTGTCCATTTATAATTTTGAAATTAGCTGCCCCAGGCACGTTGTTGCAATAGGCCTTTGTGGAGGTCACATTCCTTCCTCTCGACTCCCTCTCACACTCCCGGGGGCAGGAGAGTGTCATTCCATTGACAGTCGGCGACCGGCCGCGCTAATATACTGGCAACATCGTTTGGCGCCGTCTTGGAGACGCGGCACATTTGGGCCAGAGGTTAAGCCAGCCACTTCCTGCTGTAAGAATCCTCAAGTTAAGTCTCTTCCGGCGAAGACCGTTTGAGGGATCAGCCGGAATATCTCTCGTCTTCGGAGGCCTTCTATTCTTCAAGCCAGACTCAACGACAACGGCGGCGGCTCAAGAGTGACAAGGCGCCATGTACGGGGACGTCTGGTAGTGCGAGATGGGCGTGTGTGCAAGGGGAAGAGACCTGGGTGGGGCTCGAAGTCCTGGAATGAATGCTTTGCTACCATTGGCTGCGAACATGACTGCAGGGACTCCCTACTGGAAAGGCGGGCCCAAGTTACCCTTTAAAAAACACAGCAGGAGGCTGTGAGGGTGTGCTAATCTAAATGGTTCTGTAGATATGTAATAAACAGGGTTCTTTCGTGAGACACCGTCTTGTCTCCTGATGTTCCTGCCTGGGGTCATCCCGCGGTTCCTGTCCTAGCCTGGCCCTGCCTGATCCTGCCTGGAGAACTCCTCGGTCCCAACAGCGTGATACGGGCAAGGTGGTCGCTTCGCACCTGGGCTGCTCTGGCGGTAGCGGCAACTGGAGCGCCAGCCCTTCCAGTTCAGACTACTAACGCTACTCAGAATTGAATTTGGATGACGAGGGCTCGCCATCCGACGGAGAAGCTCCGTAGAGTGCCCTTGGTTCGTAATCTGAAACCGCCCGAATGTTGCGGAAGCAAACGTGCCAAAATAAAACCCAGTGGAAGAAAGGTGACAACTTTTGACCTCCAACATTTCCATTTGATGCTCCTAAACCTGAACAGGTCGCGTGCACTGCATGGGCTAAACAACTAAGAAAAAACCTGCGCACTGACCCTTTCTTTATACCGTTCCTTGGGAAACAAAACTTTACCGCTTTGAAACATCTCTGGAAAAAATGAAAACTCGACCTTTGGAAAATAAAGCTGGCTTCCGAGCGCAAAACGCCCGAAGCACAGGACCACTAGACCTGTGGGGGCGGGGTTCTTCGGGGTTGGGGGCGTGTGACACATTGGTCCAGAAAGACGGGGCTCACCGATGGCGATGGTGAGGGTGAGGATGTTCATGAAGGGGAAGAAGGGCACCCGGTACACGGTGGTGTAGAGGAAATAGGCGGTGCCCAGGGAGAAGAGCACTGCCAGGCAGGTGACCAGGGTGACCAGGAACGACTGGGTGTAGGCCCACATCACGGCGAGCACCGCCGCCCCAGCCAGGGCCACGTACAGGGTGTCGTGCACCAGGTATTCGTCGAAGAGGGCGTGCTTCAGCCCCAGCTCCATGGCCACCACCTTTAAAGGATTGACTCTGGGCATTGTACATACGGCCGATTCTGCAACTATAGGTCATCTGTCGAGTCAAACAGGGCACGCTTCAGCCCAAGCTCCACATGGCCACTTCATGAATAAGACGAAGTGTTGAACGCAACTCCGGTCGAAAACAAAACCAAAATAAATTACTGGTATCGCTTTAATGGCACGAATAGTGATCACAGCCTAAATATTATCTCAAAGTGAAGCCGCATACTACGCTAAAACCGATTTTAAAGATACATCCTGCTGTCCTTTAGCAAGTGGCAAACGCATTAGCTTTTAGTCAAATGACACTGGGTGGCGCACACTGCAGCACTCCCGTGACGTCACGATGGTGCTACGATCGATTCCGCACTTTGTGCCACGTATTGCAGCACCACTGTGACGTCGTGTCGCGGCCATAAAGCTAATTATCAGTGTTGACATCCCTCTCTAGCAGATAGTTTCGGTTTGGCCATAGGGGTCCGAAACAAATCTTTGACCCGCAATATTTGTAAAACTACATACAATATTGAAAGAAAAAAATATTTACCTTGTAATTCAGAAACACTGACCAAGCTGAAAACGGTCGTAATCCCAAATTCGAAAATAATCACCGGTGCTTCCCTTGAAGAAGCCAATGTTTCAGCTGCTACAACTGACTTTTGGCATTGCATGCACTCGATTCCCGAACTAGCTTAACTGTCGAGTTTAAGAGGTCGTGCTTCAGGCTCCACATGGCAACCATCCGAGATATGCAGATGAATGAACCGTACTAGATGAAACATAAAAAAATTCTACAAATCCGCCGAAAAACTAGGTAAATCTTTGGCAGAGCCGGGATTTGGACTCCGGGCGTCCCATGACATTACTCCGCCTAGTCTTTCTGGCATTTCTTATCTGTCTTATTAATGCACCAAAACAAAATGTATCCAATCAGAGGTGTTTAGAAGCACACGCCGCCGCATGGAATGCGGTACGACGCTTGCTGGCACGTGGTAGTGCTCGTTGTGCTCCAGGATTCCTCTCGCTGTCTGTCTCGTCACGCATAAATATATTATTTCTCGTTTATGAAACAAGATTTATGAGATGACATTTATGAGACGAGACATACAGAGAGAGGACTTCTGGAGCACACCGAGCACGTGCCACATACCTGAAAGCGTCGTACCGCTTTCTACACGGCAGCGTGTACTTCCAGAACGGCTCTGATTGGATACATTGCGTTCCTGTGCATCAACAAGACGGATAGGAAACTCCAGAAATATAAGCCGGAGTGGTATAGAGTCAGGGTACCCAACCAGATACTAAAAGGCCCAAAGTTCAGATCCTGGCTCCGTCAAAAATTTTTGACTTTCGGCGGGTTTGTAGAATTTGTTTTGTTCGATCAGTTATGGTGTATTTGCCCACATATTTTTAAATATTTCCTCTTTGGAGACCACATTTGACGATAGAAGTCTCCGTGATATGGTCGCCATTTCTAAGCAGATGGATTACAGTAAAACCTCGTTATAACAAAACGGGATATAACAAACTAATGGATATAACAAAGCAATCATAATTCCCCTTGCTTGCTAATAGTGGGAAGAAATGGACATTGGCTATAACAAACTAATGGTTATAACGAAATAATTACGACCGCTCCTTCAACTTTGTTATAACGAGGTTTTACTGTATTATGAAGCCAATGTTTCATGCGAGGACTGACTTTAGGCATTGCGATCACCAAATTCCTTAACTAACTAATTCCCCGAGTTGAAGTCCATCGACACGCTAAATCCCCGAAGTAAAACAGCTATTGAGCTGTTATAACTCGTGTATAGCATGGCTCAGCTGCAATTGGTACAGATTGAGAGTCAAGCAGTACCAACCCTTACCCAGAGGCATAACCAGAGGGAGACAGAACTTATAAAGATTAAGCCCCCCCCCCCTCCCCTCCCCAAACTCCCTCAAAACGGAGTGACAGAGTCAATTTCATCAGTATTTGTAAATCCACGTCACTATATGCATGCAAATAAAACGAAGCAACAACGGGACTGAGGTCATTTGAAGGCAGCTTTAAACGAGCTCAGTCACGCTGCTGGTTCATTTTCTTCGCACTCGCGAGTTCACGCTCGAACGCACTCACCTCGGTGACGTTGTCGTAGAGTGCCCCGTCGCTCTCGAGTTCCTTGAAGTACGGCATGGCCGTCACGCTCTGCGCGATGGGCAAGAAGACGTTGGTGTACGACAGCACGCCTCCCCGCTGCAAGAACGTCCCGTTGAGCTTGCCGTCGTCGTCGCCCCGCGTGGTCGCTCGGGGCCCCAGAAAGTCTGCGTCTGCCAGGAAGTGAAGGATGTTGTAGACAGCGTTGTACTCGGTGCACTCCTGTGGCACCCCTCTGCACAGCAGGGCATCTGTCGTGCAGTCGTGGCTCAGCTTCATGCTGTGGTAGTGTGGAGCGCATGACTCCAGCCGCTGGAACACCTGGCAGAGGGTGGGGGAAATGCAACGCGGTCGGCACCAGACGGTTTTGTGCCGTGCCATCACGGTGCCAAGAGCGCGTGGCCGACTGGTTTGTTTAGTAACCTATATACCACCCGTCGGGTTTCTCCCGATGGGTGGCAAACTTTTCTAAGTGTTTATCGGGGCAGGTTACTCCGTTGAGTGCGCTTCTTAGCGAGGCCCGGTGTAATGCAGAAAAGCATGCACCCGCAGAGTTCGCTTCCGCGGGTATTGCTTCTCCGCAGAGCACCAGTGCTCGGTAACAAGTGCGCTCAATGGGGCTAACCCGCTGAAATCAACACTTCTAAAACTGCGAATAGTGCGGTTCTTCTCGAAGCGAATATCGAATAGCGTATTATTCTAAACTACTATTCGAAATTTCGAATATTTGCACAACCCTACCGAATAAGCTTCCGTGGACGGTCAAACTGGAGAGCGAGCCACGGCAAAATGGTTGTCCGCTGCATTCAGGCAGGCAAAAGCATGACACTTTTATGGTGTCATCGGGTGAAAATTGTAGAACCAGATTCGGGGATGCGGTAAACGGACCAGTCAGAGATGCGCTACAGGCACCAGCGCCGTTCCACTCAGAAACAACGATGTCAACCCTCCTCTTTGCCATTTGGGTGATGCTGACAGATGCATGCGCCTCAATCTCGCCCGGTCATCTTCATGGACATCATCTGGACTGCGGCGGCCTTTGGATCGTCACGCCAAATGACTCCGACTACTTTCCCGGTGATACAAACAACCGAGCCACCAAACTTAAACGCCAATGTGTAGGGTGTCTGGCAACCGGGGACGTCGACAAACGGCTATCTGGACGCATGGCTACTTAACTCGCCAGTCAGTGGGGCCAGTCGGGGCACAGCATTGCATTGGAAACAACGTCAACCTTTCTCTTCGTCGTTCAGGTTGGTTACGTTCCCAATTCTCGCTGCTACCAGGAAGTGACGTCTGATCACGATGTCGTGCCCCTACGACGCTCTTGAGTGTCGTCGCCGTCTGCCTGTGTTCTTGGCACAGAGTGCACATGCTGTTTACCTAGCCTTACTAACTCTGCAAATGACTGGGGACATTGAAACCAACCCCGGTCCAGAGAGTGAGGAATCACATTCTGAACATTGTAACTAGAATAAAATTGGCCAAAGACATATGCTTGCTGAAATTAAGAAGCTTCAGGATACCCAACCAACAACGGACGTGACAATAAGGGGCCTTAAACAAAGGGTAGTGGCAATGAAAGCGAAGCTGAACTCTATGAGGATGTCTTTGGAAGGGAGCGCAAGTAACCCGGAAGCTGCCATCAAAGTTGCACTGGACATATCGAAAGTTAATGCGAGGTGCGATGACGCCGAAAACAGACTTTGCAGATAGAACTTATTGTTCTTTGGTATTACTGACGCGCAAACTGAAACTTGGAGTCAATCGGAGGCAAACATTACGAGTTTTTGTGAACGACAACTGGAAAGTGAGGTTGACTTGAACGACATTGAGCGGTCACACATGCTTAAAAAGTTTTTACCCGATAAAAATTGACCCATCATTGTCAAGTTCCTGCGCTAAAAAGATAGACATAACATCCTCTCTTCGGGCTATAAACTAAAGAATTCTTAGTATGCCGTAAGGGAAAACTTGCCGGAGTCTGTCTGCTATGCTGGAAATAAACTGTTAGTATTGCTCGCCCGATCGCAGAATGGAACGTTCAAAATCTGCTTTGATAAGATGAACATCAATGATAAAAGTGCTATAAATATGACGTCACTTCCGACTCTGTTATTCAAGTCTCTAAGATAGCGGAAAATGCCTAACGTCACTCCCCTTTGCTTAGCATGTGCACGCAAAGCAGTTGAAATGTTTAAACTACATTGTTATATTTACCAATATATGCAGCATCATGCCTAAGCGAGATAAACTAATGCGCATTCATTTGTGATAACGATACAATATGAATACGATACTATACTAACTTTATTTTTCACCACAAATACAAGTGGCCAATGGGAGGCCGGAGAAATGCAGCTCGACAAGGCTCCGGGCCCCCCTTTCAGCAGCTACGATGGAGTACGTATAATACAGTGGTCAAAAAAGAGAAAATCAAATGAACAAATCGATTATCTGGCTGTTTGACAATTGCACAATATCTATGTTTTTTAACAAAATATTCGTTCAGAATAGACGGTAAAGCATAACTAATTTTTTGTTTTCCGTAGTTAGTCGTGCAATTCGGAATTTGCCAGGGCTGGTGATTTCTCTATGAATAATAATTGCTTTTTTCTTTTAAATCAGACAGTTGAAGAATTACATTTGAGCGTCCTAATGCCACATATTTACACGCCATTGTTAAACGATAGTTATAGATTTGGTGTATATTGATAATCTTGTATGATTTGAACAGTGAATGCGTATGATGTATGTAGGAAACGAAACAACTCTAGTATCGTCATTCCAACAGAATCTTGGCTGAAACCTGAAATAAAAGACAGCTAAATGTTTCCTTGTGAATTGCAATTTGACGCTTATCGATGTGATAGGCCGGAGCAACGCGAAAGGGGAAATCTTATTGCGATAAAAAAATGTATTTCCTCATTTTGTGTTAGAACCTGTTCATTTGCATTATGTTCATTTGCGTTTTGTTCATTTGCGTTATGTGTTCATTTGCGTTATGTTGGCATTTAGACAAACAATAATCGGTGCATGTTATCAGGCGCCAAATCGGTGTTCTGATTATTGTGGCAATCCATACTCTGTTTTGCTTCAAATTCATCTTAACCCGAAAGCGCATTTTCTAATCTTTGGTGACTTCAAGTTTCCGAGCATCGACTGGGTTAATTATACCACAAGCAGGCCAAATGACGCTAAAGAATTTCTCGATAACTGCTTGAACTTCAACCTCAATCAAGGTGTTGTGGTGATAATATTCTTGATCTTGTCCTGACTAGCTCTCCAGAAGTTATAGAAAGAGTTAGCTGTGTTGCTGGTTTAAGTGACCACAATACCCTGCTTGCTGACTTATCTGTTCCTGCCCTCCATGCAGATCACCCCCAATTAAAACAATCCATGACTACAACAAAGCTGATTACGTGGCAGTAAATCAACACTGGTCTGTGTGTTACAAATCGTATGCCGGAAACTTTTTACTTTTTGTTAAAGTAGGTGGAAGAAAACGGACTACTTTTTAAAGACAAATTAAACAGTTTTACTGAGTAGTTTGTTCCCACTGTCATTATTTGTAGCAACAAGAATAACCCCGGTACAATAAAAGCATGTGTTCATTGAATAAAAAAAAAAAAGCGATAGTATAAAAGAGCAAAGTGGCTAAACGTTAATCTAGTTTGGAATGAATACTTTGCATACCTCAAAACTTAAATGAAAAGTGTCAGATCGTCAAAGCAAAAATTCTTCTCTTTGGACCTACCGAGATATTTACGTATTAATTAATCCCCAAAAGTTTTGGGAAATATTTTCGCCAAGAGATACCACTCATTTGATACAACTTCAGAATAAAAACGGAGTCGCTGTTTCTGAACTTCATTGTGCTACTGTATTAAATAATTCTTTCTCTTCTGCATTCACCAGCAAAAATATCGATGATACGCAATATTTGCCCTTGTCTGACTTTGTAGATGGCTCCCAATGATATTTCTGCCGAGGGAATACTTCACCTCACAGAAGGATTAAAACTAGCGTCATCTTGTGCTTCTGATAATATTAACTTGAAACTTCTTAGTAACACCAAAGTTATACCTATTGAGTGTCTTAAGTTGATCTTTTTCTCAGTCATTGCAGCAAGGTTCCTTACCTTGCTGCAATGAACTACGCAGCTACGTTGGAAGCTGGGCACGGTCCCTCCCAGGCGTAACCGTCAGAAATGAAGCACCATACCTCGGTGACGTCGGCGGGTGTGATGAGGAGGCACGACGACCGGTTGTGCAGCAGGGCCACATAGTTTGGGATGGACCAGGACGCGCAGCAGGGGCTGGCCCCGCGCTGCTGCTCACGCTCGCAGAGCGACTGGAAGCTCGGCGGAGCGCGGAGTGCCTCTGCATCCAGGCGGCACACCGACTGGAGCGCCTCCCAGCTGAACAGTCCGGCTTTCCGCGCGCCGCCGGGGTCGTCCACCGGTCGATTTCCGTGCCGCGCGCCGAACACCACGTGGCCGTGGTTGCGAGCTGCGAATCGATTTGAATGAGCCGCAGCCGTTAATGAGCCGGAAGCTGTCGTCCAGACGCGAGTTCTGCCAGTACCGCTTCGAAGACAACGCCTGTAGCTTTACCCCCTCAAACGTCGTCGCTGGCGGATCTGTGTGGCGACACCTATCCTCCTTTCGCACCTAAGTGGGGACCGCAGTGGGAGCTACACCTTTCGCCGGATCGACCGACCGCGTCCCTTTCTTTGCCCGACTGAGCTCTCCGCGCAATGACGTGGGCGAGAGCGCAATCGAGTGGCGAAGGATCGACGTACGGCTGGTCCAACGTGGTATTACCTTCCAACGCGGTCTCAGCTTGGGGGCGATTGGAGCACAGCTTGCATCAGCGTCGCCGCCAGCTTATCTTGCCATGTCTCGCAACGAGCGAAATATTAGTGCACGGCGCCCGTGAGACGGTTCGTCGCTTTGCAGCACCTCTCGTCGAGTTTCCGCGTGTTTCCCGCCTGGGGCGGGTTGGGGATCGGCCAACGACGACTTTGTGCTCAGGCCTCGTCTTCTAAATCGTATCTGGAGAGCAGGTCGTCTGCTTCTTGCGCAAGAGTTGCGGTGACGTCATAACGACGCCGAGCTCCGATTGACTTTGATTGAAAGCATAGTGGGAAGACCTCAATGCTAAATGCCTCGAGGTCTACCCATTATTTTTTTAAATCAGCCAATATGAGCTCGGCATTCTGACATTGTCGCAGCCCCCATGCAAGAGGCAGACAAACTTGCGCTCTGCACTCGTATGGTACACCACCTAAAAGTGGTTTCGGCAGGGCACAACAAAGCTGTTGCACCGACGGCACGAATGTGTTCAGCCCCAGGGGGAATATGTCGAAAAGGTGGACATACCTACCGACCTCTAGGGACATCGACAAGCTGAGAACAGAAGGGAGCCGAGAGTTTCATTTGTCCCACCTCCGGAGCATGCTTCCTAACTTCGATAACGCTTTGGCACTAGTCAGCCTCAAGCGTGCGAGCGAAGCCAAAGTACGGCGGAGGGCAACGTGCGCATGATGGAGACTGGGCAAAAGACGCGCCCTGCCATACTCATTCTATCAGTGACTACAAGTGGCCAGTAAATAAAATTTAAATCAATACGGTATATATGTTTCTCATGCATTACATGGAATGGTTTACAAAGAACTGCCCCCGCCACAGAAAGAACATGCAAAGCAAAATATTTTTTTTGACAGCCACCGGCTGAAGCCCAGAGGTTACGCCGACGCTCTCAACGAAACGTTTTTTTCACGGGACCAAAACCCAACAAGTCCTTCTTAGGAGACTCACCGGGATCGCTGCAGAAAAAGCGTCCGCCACTGCCGCTCCCCGATCCCGCACCCGTCCGCGGCACGGCGCCTCTGAAGCTCCACTTTCCCTTGCCCTGCAGCTTCTTGTCCCCGGAGTCCTGCGAGTCCTTTTTGCGCTTGCGCTTGTCCTTGTCTGCTCCCGGAAGGAGGACGGGGGGGCCCTGCATCAGGCGCCCAAACGCACCGTCCTCCCGTTCGTCCGGAACTGCTGCCACCTCCGGCTGGCTCTCGTTGGATGCCAGAGCGGGCGGCGCTGCCGTCTGCCGAGGAGATGTGGCATACGGGAAAGTAGGCGGTTAGAAATCTTCGGGGCTTCGACAGCATGCGCTGTGGAGCGCATCTAGTGTAAACGCAGTAGCGGCACCTTTTTGTGTTTTGCACAGACAGGACGGCGATGAGTGCTACATTTTACCGCTGAAGGGATGACAACACCTTCAACTGTCGACTTTTGAACCAGTCGTTCAATACAGATTAAATTTGAAGGGTCTATTCATCTTGTTGCCTAAATGCACTGTATGACGTTTCTTCTCCTTAGGACAATTTTCTGATAAGCTACAGGGGGAGGTATATGGCTATTGATGTAGGTCACCTCACTTGGCAAGTAAATCTATCATACAAAAATTGCTACAAAATATATCAGCATTTTTTATGCTTCAGTCGTGACTAGAAAATATGGGGAGTGCGGCTATCTATATTTTACCCTGAAAGCTGTATCTTTTCTATGCAAAATGACAATTTGGAAAGCATTCCACATGATGGGCCATTTTCTCCTTTTCACAACCCTACTTTTTGGCAATAAGAACTTCATTTAAAAAGAAAAAAAAAAATCAATCGGGCCACATTCTTTATTAAATTTCAGTTCAGAAACATCCACACCGAAGAATGAATTCGGCAATTCATTGAAATGTTAGATTTCCTAAAACGAAAGTTGCTGCAAAAAAGTGAAACTGAGAAAAAAAAACTATTTGAAGTTTCCACACCACTACATTTGATTATACTGGTGCTGGTGGCTAGTAAAAGACACCAAGAGCATAGGTAGGGTAGATCCTTCTGCTTACACCCAATCTCCTGCATGGCCTTGCTGAGCTAGTCCAAGCTTAAAACGCTTTCTTTGAGTGTTATTTTGTTGTCGGCATGTGGACACGGATTGGGAAATGAGTGAGGAACTGGATATGCTTGCAATACACAAACCAGCGTCACCAATTATGGGCAGGGCAAACACTGTCGGAATACAAAGCTGACAAACCCCCGTGACTTTCTATAAACAAATGCTGGTTTTAGTTCGTCTTCTGTTCAATCAGGGCGGGCTTTTCGATTCTTAATTACGTGCATAGCCTCTTACACGGGAAAGCTGGACTTTTATGGTGTTATTGCCTAAATAGTGATTACAATCGCACAAATCTATTTCATGTACCGAAACTGCAAAGAAATGCTCTTTCCATTGAGAGCATGATCATTATTATAGGGCATACCAGTGTGGATCTACAACTGTTAGAAAATAGGAGACATAGAAGTTTCACATTTCCAAAACATTTGATTTTGCATTGTCGTCTTACTGAAAATGTTTCATTTCTACGTAAGTAATTCATATATTATGCAATAAATATTTGAAGGAGTGTGCACAATATCTTAGTTGTTGAACCATGACAGATAAAAATAAGAATTTTAAAAAAAGTCAACTTTTTTCTCAAAAATTGCTAATTTAAGGTGGTGTCCCCCCTTAAAGGGGCCGTGCAAAGACTTTTTTCTGTTTTTTAATTTGCACCAAACCTGAGCGCACTGAACGTAGTAACTTTGTGAACTTTTTCTTTTCTCGAAATTTACTTTATTTTAAAAGTTCTAGGCATATTAAAATTACAAAAAACGAGCCAAAAATAACCTCCTTCATGACGTCCTTGGTCCTCTGTGCTCCGTTTTCTCGCACCCGCGGACCGCATTGACTGAGGAATGTGGGGAGGGAGGGGAAGACGGGGAAAGGAGGTGAGGCCGAGGAGAGACAGTTGCCCGGGAACGGGACAGCTCTCTCTCCTCGGCTGACCAGGACCAACAACGTCGGGATTTCGTCACATGCCGTGCACGCTCGACACCATGGGGCCAGGATCGTAGGAGGAGGAGGCTTCCGCATCGTCCGGTTAAAATATGACGCGCTGATATTTAGTTACTCTTTCCGTGCCCGCTGGGTTGCCCGAACCCCAAAAGACAAGGAAACCGCAAAAAAGGTAGACACTTAAATAGGATTGCAGGGCCCCTTTAAGTTGGAGCTGGGGACATGCGCATATACGACCACACTGTGCCCCATTCACCCCTCGGCTGACATTGTTGTGGAAGCTATATGCAACTCCCTGGACCAACCAACTGCTTCCCTTTCATCACCTGACCCCACTGTCGACGCACGGGTATGGGGGGAGCGTAATCACGCGTCAAACGATGGACGTTCGACCAGTGCAACGAGCATGTAGCTTCTATCACATTGTCAGCATAGGGGTGAATGTACCGTAGTTTTGCTGACAGCCTTTCAGTTGTAAGAAAAAGAGAGGAAAAACCGTCAATCGCTCGTTCACGCTAACTAGCTGTGGCGCACTCCATACATATGAGCCCCTTGGTGAAGACAACAAAAAAACAAATTATGAGCTTACACGGCTTTTCTATACAGTATAGTAAAATTGTGGAAAGTTTTTAATGCTGGCGGAGGCATTTAAGGTATAGATGAAGTAGTAAATTTATTTATTTTCTATAAATTGATAATGCTATATAGTACCACGCAGGTTCTGCTATACTTGATGCGAGGCATGTCCCTGGAAGTGAACTGACCAATAATTAAATCCAATAAATTGCACCTCGATGCAGGGACGTCTAGCTTAACAGACTAGTGGAGAAGTCCCCAAGCTGTCAGTTTCCATTTTTAAAGTCGCCAAACTTTTCAAAGTACTGTATTTCCTTTTTCAGGCTCTCTTTTCCTCGTCGTACTAAACCTTCGTGAGACCGCACATTTCCCTAATCAAAAGCTCGAAACAATACTCATTTCGGGTTTTGACCCAGAAAAGTCACAGAGTGGTAAAAATATGGACTCCCAAATCCAAATGTCCATGGGATTGAGTCGCATCGAGGAATGCTGGGGTGTTTGCATTCAAACATTGCACATTGCGTCTCCGACCTGTGTACTCGTAGCGCGCATCCTCAAAAGTGGACCCTCAATTCCCACGGCGTCACCGACGTGTCGTGCCATTGCCCGTCGCAATTCTGGCGGCGGAACTCGCTCCACAGTCAGACGGTCGACGGAAACCAAAGCAGACGAGGGACGGGACGCCGCGATGATGGCGACCGTCGAGTTTGCCCCCCTTTTCCACTAGCCTTTCTACACCTAACCGCTGGGATTGAGGCATGCGACAAAACAAAGCGCCGGCTGCTCGGTCGCCGTTCATTGCCGCTTCGAAACCACTTTCGACGCGCGGGTGGCGTACGACGGTGAACGCGCCAATCGGACACGCGTCCCGGCCATCTTAATTTAATGGCCGAAAAGAATTCCACCTGCCTGTTCGGCATCGATGTTTGATGAAGGTGTAGCCGCGGCCGAAGCCTCGGTGGTCGAAGGCAAAGGCGGCCCTTGTTGCTCCTGGGGCCCGGGGTACATGGAGAGCGGTCCGTTCCAGCTCGATCCCGCGAGCAGGTTGTTCCAGGCCGTGGCCCGTTGTGCCAGCACCGTGCCTCGTGGCTCGAACCCCTGCAAGGAAGAAACGACCTCGTGAGGTTTCGGGTAAACCCGGCTAAGATACCATTTTATATATCCTAAAGGCCGATTCGCACAGTTGCATCCAAGTAGTAAGGTGGTCAGTTGGGCGTGTTGGTGCTGATTAAAGGAGCTGTGCAACGATATTCAATTGGAATGTTTTTCTCTCTACACGAGCTTACAACTGGGACTCGAGGATACTCACACGCAACGCCATTGGCCAAGAAACTCCTTTGTTGCGGTGTAATTTCAAGGACAAAAGCGATCATTTTCATTCAATCTCTCCTTTGCAAAATTTTATGACGTAACTCGGGGATCGCAGTACACCCAAGTGACGATATTTGAATGCGGGTCATAATAACAATAATAATAATGATTGGACCCGAGCATTGCGTGGGCACTCGACTTGGGCTCGTGATAATTGCTAGCTCGAGAAGCATTCGGGTAGTGGCCCATGTCCAATCGCTGCAACGACGACAACAGCCGAGCCATAACAATGTCTGGAACTCGGCGCGTGTCCTGCGCTTTGCCAACCCCAGTGCGTGGCTATGATCAACACTGGCGGCATATAATCGGCTCCAGATCACGTGGCCGCTTGTTCTGGCTGCGAGTTGAGGGGGTGAACGCTGCTTGTTTTTCTTTAATTCTTTTCTTGGACTGCTATTGCGTGGGGTGAAAAACGAACGCGTGTTTCATAGGTCATTAACGTTAGGGATTTGCTTCAAGCGGTATTTGCGCAAAGTACAAAAATTGTTGCATAGCTCCTTTAAATGTGGTTAAGGTTGCGCACAATACCACAGGGACAGAGAGGAGAGACATGCAGACGACAGATAAGCGCACACGCGCAACTCGCATGTATTGTCTTAATTCAAATACATGCGAGTCGTGAGTGTGCGCTTCTCTGTCCCCATTTTTTTGCGCGCAATTTTAACCATGCATTTATGTGCGCTCCAGTGAACCATGCCCACCTGTCAGGTACAGTACTGGAATACTTTTCAACCTTCATCCACCGTTTCCTTTTTTTTTTTTTTTTTTATTGTGGGTTTGACATTTCGATTCTTTATCAGGCACCCCTTTCTCGTTGTTAGCGCATAAATCTTATCTCATAAATGCTGAAAAACTTCCAGTTTAGTTATACGCAGGTTTGAAGTGTTTGGGGGCTATGCCAATAGGCGGTGTGGTGACATGCTCCCTCTTCATAAATGGTTACCAAATCTTTTTTTGATGTTCGCGTAAGGGCGGCCTGCCTTTGAGGTACGTCGACACCAGTTAACGACGACGACTGTTTGCCCTGGGGTCTTTAATGTGCATCAAGCAGTAGTGACAGACGATCGCACGCCGGTACGACGCTCATTCAGGTCAAAGTGGGGATTGTCGACATGTCGTGGGAAAGTCACGTCAACCACTTGCTAACCAAAATAGCTCAAATTACTGGCGTAGTTGGTCGTATTAGACACATTCTTTCCACGACAATTAAGTTGCTTCTTTATAATTCACCTTTTTTTACTCACATTTAAACTATTCCAAACTGGTGTGAGTGACAACTACATGTTCAAGCCTACAGCGTGCTCACCTAGTGCAAAACAAATATATACGCCACATCTATAACGCACCATATGGTACACCAAGTGCAATTTTCTTTCATCGTTCCCGCGTGGTCGGGGCCTACGACCTATACAGATACTGTTCGAGGGTCCCCTATAGATCAGAAACACAGAAGTATATAAATAGTAAACGTAATCTGGCCTAGTTAGACATGAGGAAGATACGTAGAAAGGGGGGTCGGACAACGAAGAAGTCTGGAAGTCTTCAATGTCCGTCCCCCCTTTCTATGTATCTTCCTCATGTCTAATTACCGTTACCAACACGCTCGTTTTGTACTTAAATCTGGCCTAATTGCAAATAAAAAAGCTTTTAGTTATTCAACGAGACATAAGGAGAACTGGACGTACCTACAACTCAACTAAACTCCGAAAAAGAATGCCTCTGTCATTTATTGCCATCTCTATTAAATAGCTATCACCTCGTTACTTTGGATATATACACTTGCGAACACCTCTGAACTTCGCAAAACGTACGAAAGCGGGGAATTTTTTTTATTTTTTTTATATTTTTGCGTGCTATTGAGATATGGTAAAATAATTTGTTTCCTATTTTTTTTCTTGTGTGTTCAGCTTTCCAATCAATCTGTCTTCGTGTAAGCAAACGTCACTGTTGTCAATTCATTTTTTTTTGTGTGCGGGTTTTGTTGCTTTTGCTATGGAAGTACCTTTGTACAATTTCTTGCATTCTTTTCATTTTACTTTTCTTTTCCCTGCTTTGTACTTGAGGGGCACTGAGGACCAGCCAAGCTGCTTTAACAGCTTTTTATGCTTAGCTCCCACCGTACTTACATAATAAAAAAACTATTATTATTATTATTAATGCGAAAGCATTAACTGTCCCATGGAGCGAGCTGACGTCATCAGTTTAAAGCGCGAAAATGGCACCTAGTTTCCCCGATCCCGAAGGAGCAAGATTTCGCCTGATGGATTTCGCCTTCACTTCCATTGGCTGGCGTGCGTTAATGGGGCTCCCATTGGCCGCTGCACTCATCAGTTTCCACGACCGCTCACCCCATGACGCTGCGTATCCATCAGCGCGCCGTTAACACGCGAGCGTCCAAGGTCAGCGTGCCGAGGGGAGCACGCACACTGACCGGCGACGAAAAGTATGCAGCAGACGAAAACGGGAGCGGACAAGCAGCTTGCATTCTTTCACATTCACAACTCATAAGAAGTGCTTAGGTGTACCTCGAGCTTTTTTTTGTGCGTGTAGTTTTTGTTGCTTTTATGATGGAAGTACCTTGTATTATTGTATAATTTCTTGCATTCTTTTCATTTTACTTTTCTCACCCCTGCTTTGTGCTTGAGGGGTGCTGATCGATTAGTCAAGCTGCCCGAACAGCTTTTTATCCTTAGCTGCCACCATACTTACATGGTAAATAAACTATTATTATTATTATCATCATTTTTGGATTCTGCAGCGCAAGCTTTCACTCCACATTCTTTAAGCTGAAGTGCGCCAATGCACTCGGCCACCAATTACTCCGTAAACATGATTACAAGCGGGCAAAACACACTGAATAACACTCAAATGCAGACGGGTGATCCCGCCTCAATTTTTTCAGTGCTCGAAGTACAACACTGCACATTCGCAGCTTTACTTTTCTTGCACGGTTCCAGTTTGGGCAGCCCTCAAACGTTAATCCATAATTTGTTTCATCTTGCGCGCACAAGTCAAGACGAAGCAACAAGCACGAGCAAGTTGCCCCGAACAATGCCTGCGCCAAACGAGGGCGCAAGCCGGGCAGGGACGCAGAAAGCCCAGAGCTTGCGCTGGTGGATTCGGCTACGCCCGCACTTAAAGTGAAAAAAAAAGTACAGCACAATGCACCGACCAATGGATGGTAAAATGCGATACCTGGTGTCAACATATACAGGGCGTCGGAACTTAATTCGAACGGATTTATTCGAAAAATAACGAGCCGTGGAAGGCACACAGAGCGGTCTGTGCAGGCAAGCTATTTGGCCTGGGGGGGGGGGTACTTTAGCACTGGGGTATGCTAAAGTTAGCGCTTGTGCAACAGGCGCAAGGCTGGCAGTACTAAGACGCGGGCGACAAGAATATCATTTGAGTTTTACGTGACGCCACTCCTGCGCCTTTTGCGGGGGTGCAAGTTGTATTGACATTTCTGTAGGCAGATGGAGCACTATAGCAGGGTTCCCAACAAGGCTCCATGAAACGCTCATTGATGTAGTAGCGATTGTTGGTAGTTGCAAAAAAACCAGAAAGCGTGGGGTGCATCGTAACAGAGCTCAGTACCTGCAGGCCGAGGCTCGTGATGCTTCGAAGCGTTATCGAAGGTAGGAAGCTCAAGCTGAAGGTGGGACAACTGTCAAACCTCCCCGCAGTTATTTATGCAAACACAATATAGATGGTCGACATATAAGGCACGTACAGGCAAGTTTGTCGTGGAGAAGCAAATTCTACGTGATCGATTCACAGACAGCACAGTAGAAGCCAAGTTTCTTAGAGAAATGTTACCTGTCGGCTTGAGAATTCCTAGGGGGTTCTCTATCAAAAACGTGTTTCCAACAGCTGGCTTTCATGGTTTGCCTGGAATCTACTTGCGAGCTGCCATTGATAGGCAATGCTGCAACTGAACCTTTCATTCTAATAAAAACGAGCGAGGTAATGGTAAATTTTCTAGATTATCCACGAGGTAGGGAATGTGCTTCTTATGAAGGAATAGGTGGCCGAATTGCTAGGGATAGTCTGAAATTATGCCTATGGAAAAAAAGCTTGCCCAAAAACTGTTTAATCCCAGACATTCTTCGCAATATTGACGTACAAGACACGTGTTTGTGCAATGTCTAAACCTTCAGATACCAGAATCGAGAATGTATAGCAATTAAGTTTTATTTGTGCAGCACTGAAACTGCAGACAATATAAAGGAAAAAAAAATAAACAGCAAAAGAAAATGGTTGCATGGTGAAAAACCTTAAACCAACATTCCAATCTACTTGCATCACATCACGTGCTAAAAAACTTGCCCTGCAGCTTTCAGGAGCTTAGTTGCACGCAAACACACTGGCAAAAAGAACCCATTGTTTGAAAACTTTCAACCTATACGATTAAACATGTCTTCTTACTCGAATACAGGAACATTTGTTGTTGGAACAAGCACGTGCCCGGAGCAAACTACGCGTACACTAAAAAAACAAACAAAAAAAAAACGCCGTTTTCTATGTACAATGGGATTACTTCACGAATTTCTCATGATAAAATGATGCAACCTCCCACCCAATACCGCGCCGCCGTAGCAAAGAACCGGATTGTTATTACAGAGCGTTGGAGAGCCGAGCTCGTTGACACACTTCTTGAAGCGAGTCCACGACTTTTTTAAGTCAATACGAACCCACGACCGGTCTTTATATCAACAAAACAATCCGAGAAAACAAACAATTCTAAGTACGGGTCATTCACCCCTTTAATATCCGTAGAAACTCGCTTAAGAAACAAGGGTAACAGGAACGCGAAAAATAAAAAGAAAAGCTAATTAAAAAAAAAAAAGTAATCTTTTTCCAACGCGGCCGACCATTAAAAGAAAAAGAAAACCCGCAAGTTTCAATATAAAAAAAATGTCGACAAAACCGAACGACTTCGCGATATAGTAGCATAAAAAGAAAAGAGGGCAGCAGCCATGAAACATACATGAAGTTACTGACACAAGCTGCACACGGAAACATAATGAAGACCAACCCGTACAAAAAAAACAACACACGACCACGCAATGGCGGCGAAAAAAAAAAAACGTTTCTGTGAAACAAATATCCAGGTTCGTTTGGGTCTTGGATGAACGGGGGTGGTGGGAGGCTGCTGGTTCAACATCGGGGAATGCTTTCTTTTTTTGGTCTTTTAACTTTTGGCCGCGGCAGTTTTCTCCGCTTCGTCTTCGCGGCTGCCGCAAGCGTCCCAGGTCAAGCGTTCTTCGTAAAACCGTATGACGACTTGCGGGCAGCGTACGTTGGCGATGCGCGCGGGCACGATGTCGGCTTCGTCGCAGTCCTTCCACTTGATCAGGAACATGAGCTCGCCGGACGAGTCGGTGGCGCCGATGATGCGATCGGGGTCCAAGCCGCGGTCGAAACCACGTGGCTTGGAGTCAGCATCCTGGCGCTTCTTCTTGCGGCTGGGCGCCTCGGCGTCGTCTTTCATCTTCTGCGCGTCCGCGTTCTTCTTGCGTTTTTCCTCGAACTCGGCGATGAGGCCCGGGCAGTCCAGATTCTCTTCGGGCTCCCAGGTGTTGTCGCTTTCGGTGTAACCTTTCCACTTGAGGTAGTACTCGACCTTGCCCTGACGCACCCGGCGGTCGATGATCTTTTCGACGATGAATTCTTCGGGTTCGGCGGGGGTGCCGTCCTTGTGGGTCCGTTTGTTCTTGGATGTGTCGCCTGAGCGCTTGCCTGTCTGTTCCATGGGCATACAGACAACACCACAACGGTGACAACGCTAGGCCTAACAGCCGCTTGGGAAAAACGGCGGAAACAAGGAACGGACGCAGCCTCGCAACTCCTGCGATTGGCGGGGATCGGCGGGCGGGAGGCGCGGGTGCGCTCGATCGATCGATCCGTAGGCGGCGACGCAACCGGCGTATGCGAGAGCTTCCCCGAGTCCGCGCGTGATTCTGAAGGGGAATGACGTCACAAGTGCCACCACGAGCGGTGTTGTGTGACACCGCATTCGCTTACCGAACCCGACCCGCCAGTTACGCGGAGGTGGTTCGATTTGAGCAGACTAGATGGCGCCACCGCCCCGCTCCGGACTCGGCTTTCTTCGTTTTGTTTGAGGGTTGTTGACGCGCGACCTTTAGGAAGTTCGAGAGCAGGGGAGGGGAGATGGATTCGGAGAAAAGAGCGAAGGAAGAAAAGTAAATGCGAAGCGGAAAACGTCAGCGCTCATAATCGTTCCGAAATAACTCGCTCTCCAAGCACGTACTTCCTAAAATAACCTCAGACTGAAAACTTCGATGCACGCGCGAAATCGCACCAGTCTTTCTATTGCAGCTCCCCCTTCTTGGCTATCTTCGGGGATTGCCACACGCGCTTTGCATCGGTTTCCTTTTTTTCCTCCCTTTTTTTCACTCCTTTTCCTTTTTTTTTTTTTTTTTCGGTTGTCTTTCCAATTTCGGTGAAACAGAATCCGCCGAGGGAGGATGACCTTTGCCCAAAGACCCTATGGCGCGGCACAACATACAAACGCATCACGGGAAATCGAAAACGAGTGTGGGCGCCCATATTTCCGCGTAGTCTTTTAATTAGGCGCTCGCAAGCTCTACTCTAGGGGGCCATAGCGTAATTAACGTATCAAATAAACACGGTTGTCGCGAGGGTTTTCCTTTATATTTTTTTTTCTTCTCTGATGCTATATTTTTATTATTATTTTATTTTGAACCTTGACGGGCTCCTCGCAACGGGAGCGCTTTTTCGCGTTTGGGTTTTGTTGAAACCTAATAGATATCTTTTTTGCCAAATTACCCAAGCGCCAAAGAGAATGATGCTGTACTACACGTTCGTAAGTGTAGAAGATGCCGAGTAAATAGCCAACACGTGGTGTCTTCGATGGACACAAGTGCAAAGTGCCACTTGTTTTTAGAATTTTACCGAGGCCATCACGCGCAGGGCGTCTCTCGCTACGGTCGCAGAATGCTATTTGATGCTTGGGTAATTTACGAAATAATCTTTCTAAAATGAGACCTTGTACATTTTCTGTTTTGTGAACAGACGTAAAAACAAATTTCCCCATAACAGAAAAAAAAAAAAAAAAAGACCTGGAGGCGAATGGGCGTGTTTCAAAAAGCCGTAACTCATCAAGCGGGCAGTCTAGAACCGTGGAACATTGCACGTTTTTCCGCACCTTTACAAGTTCTACATAATACTATGTCGATTATCCGCTTTCCTGGTCTTTCTTCAGGCAATCGAAAGATTTATTCCGATTGACTGAAGTCCAGGCCCGAAACGTTTCAACCTGCAACACCTCATCCCGTCGCTCCTGACGCAGCTTTTTGATAATATATATATTTTTTGTTCACACTTAATGATTAAAAAAAAAAAAAAAAAGATTTGCCCAAGAAGTTCTAGAATGTGAATCCCCAAAAATTCAAAATGCAAACGTTTATCTCCCGATGAGTAACGAAGGCCAACGAGTTTAACAATTACTTTCAGTCTGCTTTTGTTACGAAAAATAATGATAATATTCCCCGTAACCTCAATGCGAGCGTTATCGCCGTGGAACATTTACTAATAATTGAACCATGAATTCTCAACCTTTTTTTCGACCTTGATAAAAGAAAAGGTAGTAGTTCCAAAAATATTCCTAATGAGTTAAAAAAAAAATAGGCTGAATGGATGAGTAAATATTTATTAATAATTTTTAAGAAATAAATTCCTCGTCACTTGCAAGGCGCCAATCGAAAAAAAAAAAAAGCAAAGTTATTCCCACTCATAAATCGGGCAACATCAATAATCCTTCCAAATTCAGACCCATCTCTCTCCTCATGTGTACCTACTGCAAACTACTCGAACACGTCTCACTAAAACAAAAAGACAGAATTTCTCGAGGAGCGGAACATCCTATCTCCTCAGCGACATGGTTTCAGAAGCGGCCTCTCCACGGTAACCGAAGCTAGTTTAAACATTCCATGACCTGCCTTTCAATGTTAACAATCCAAAGCAAATGAGCCTACTACTACTCTCGCACAGTAAATTTATTGTGGAGAAAAAACACGGCATCGGCGAGGGGCCTATAGTCAATTGAAAGAAAGATTACCTATCCAACCGTTCCCAGTTTGTACAATGTGAGCAGGAGACATCCGAGACGGTCGGAGTCATTTCGGGTGTCCCGCCAGGCTCTGTTCTTGGCCCCTGTCCTCTTCCTTCATTTTATAAACGACATCACTTAGAACTTTCGCAGATGACCTCGTCATCTATCGAGATATATATTCGTGTCATGAGGATCATTTAGCCCTAAGTACTTCACCCCAAATAATAAATGACAGGTGCACCGACTGGCAGATGATTCTTAATTAATGCCCAAAAATAGTTCTGCGTGTCTCTAACACGGGAAACACACACACACACACACATCTGCATTTCTTTTTACGGTTTCGATGATGTAACACTTTCAAGGGTCAGTGGATGTAAATACTTAGGCTTACTGATCACCTCAGACTAAGGGGGATGGATACTCATGTTAACTATGACAGTTCAGAAGCTTTTAAAAAGAGCTCGTGTACTTAAGAACACTCAAACTAGCAACCAGAGCCACATGAAACGTTTAGCTTACCCGAGCCTCGTTTGGCCCACACTCGCATATGCTAACATAGCCGGTTCACTCGCACTAAAACAGTCGTAAATTAAACTTGAAAATATACGACCGTAAAGGCACGCGATTCATCTCCAATAGATACAGGCGAACTTGAGCACCCTGAACGTAGTACCTTAATGAAACTTTTCTCTTCTCGAATTTCGATTTATTTTAAAAGTTATAGGCAAATTAAAATTACGAAAACGAGCGAAAAATAGCCTCCCTCGTGACGTCCCTGGTCCTGGCTTGGGTGGCCAATGGTAGAGGCGAAGCGACAGGCCAATCGGCTGTACCTTACGCTGATAGCCGCGTACCCTGCAGCCGCGTGCGCGTCAACGGCTCGTTGCTTGCCTTCCATGCTGTCATGTCTGTCTGTCGGAGTTGCAGCTCCAAATTCTCGACAGAAGTGCGGAGCGCGCCGCTGGCGAAGCCTCTCGGCCCAACTCGTGCATCATTTCATGGGTGACGTCCCGAAACGCGGTGTGCCCCCCTTGGTGCTACAAGACGCGTGCGACGTACCAGGAGCGGGTCCTTGAAGCTCGGCAGTTCCCGGGTGGTGAAGGAGACCACGATGGCGGTGGTGGCCAGCGAGAACACCACCAGGATCACCACGCTCGGGTGGTTGGCCACCTGCTGAGAGTACCTGCAGGGAGACACGGACGCCGTTGAGCTTCGTTCAACGCCGGCTAGGTGGCGCAAGCCGCCGCCCGACTCAAAGGGTTCAGCCACATATATCCATCCAGTGACCGGCAACTCCAGCAAAATCGACACCGCGTAGCGGCAACGCCATGGGCGTACCAACGGAAAAGGGAAGGGGGGTTTGCCGCCGCCGCCGCCGCCGCCGCCCCCCCCGAAAGAGTCACCACTGAGAAGGGCAGACACTTGAAGGAGGGGGGCGGGGGGGAGGGGGCAAACCAAGTTGGTACGCAACTGGGCAACGCCGAGAAGCTCAAGAGAGGAGGTAGTTCCGACTCTGTCGTCTGCTATCGCTGCTTGGTTCTCGTTAGAGTTCCTGTATATGCTACCTACGGTAGCAGAGTTGCGCATTCAGCCTCAGCGCGTGGCCGTAAAGCCGGCTTTCCCGCACAAGATGGATGCTTTGCTCCTCACGTGACTAAATTTGGCGAATAGCGGCGCCGCGCGCGCCACCGCGCATGGAAAACAGGAGAGGAGGAAAAGGAGGCGGAAAGCAGGGAAACATACGCCGGGGCAAGAGAAACGTCGGCGGAGCGACCGTAAAGGTGGCTTTCTTGCACGCCACCGGATGCTTTGCTCCTCACGTTATGGATCTCGGCGAATAGCGGCGTGGCGGCGCGGGGAAAACAAATGCGCAACTCTGGCTCCCGTAGGGAGCCTATACAGGAACTCTAGTTCTCGTAGGCGACATAGAAACAAACATCGTTTCCAGTAATTATTTTTACGCTTCCACCGTGTCATTCCTACCCACTGACTAGAAGAAGGCTTTCATCCTCGAAAAACTGCTTTGCTTTCATATATAACACCGCTTTTACGCTGCAGTGCAAAAAATTTATGGTGGTCCGCGTATTGAACGACGAAAACGACCTCCTTTGGTCAGCCATTTTGCCTGACCAACCGGCGAAAAAAGCGCAAGGAGGGCGAGGGTAAGGATGGCGGGGGAGGAGGAAGCAGAGGGAACCCTGGAGAAGAGAGGGGGAAACCTCCTCCTCTCTTTAGCGTTCCTTCTGCTTCCTCCTCCCCGCCTTCCTTTCCCTGGCCCTCCCCCCCCCCCGCCCCCCCCCCCCCCCCCCAAAAAAAAAGTGAAAAGTTTGGTAACAAGGTGAGTTTGATACATCCCCGGTACAGCGACAAACGACAAACATCACGCCATCCAGACAGACGCGTTCAAATACACCCTGCTTTTACCCATGCCATGCACATAGAAGACGAGGCTTGCGCACGACGTCAGTTTGAGTGGATCCCGGAGAACCGCCCCAGGCGGCGAACACGCTGAAGGTCGACCAGGGCACGCGTCACGTTCGTTGTGAGACGCTGCAAGAAGCGCGGGTTCGCTGCGACGCTGACGCGAGCTAGGAGCGCAGTGATTGGCTGTACGAGTTATCCCATGTCAATCCAGTGCTGCGAATCTTGTCAGTCGGCGTTCCGCTGCGACCCCTCTCGAAGGACAACGTGATATTCACGTGCTATGCATCGGGGATGCTTCAATGGCTCCTGCTCGTCGTAAGGTTGAGGGAGAGGAGGATACCAGAGCCTACGGAGACGTCAGGACGCCGAACTCTGGTTGCAATGATTCGCGGGTAGGCCACCGTTGCAGCTGGAGAAGGTAGGGCGAGGGCAACGTTACTAAAACACTCAGTTGGGAAACTCGCCGTCGAAACCTGGGCCGCTGGCGTCCACCGAGACCGAGCTAAATGCGACAACAGCGCCACTCTTTTTCGTTTGTCTGTACTGTGGTCACCTCGAGCTTTTTGAAAGCCTGTTTTTGCGTAAAAACAAACGGAAAAGACTCTTTTTGTATGAAATTTATTGGAGTTTAGTACCAAATGATGGGCGCGTGATGTTTTTATCATCTTTAGTTCGCAGGGTTTTGCGGAACAATTAGTATTGTTTTCATACAACCATGCCTCAGCGGGCCTTTCAGGTAGCGCGTCCCGCCCTAGGTGCATTTTAACTTCAGTAGTTGAACGCGGCGCATCCGCCGGGGAGACGGGGGTGGCACCCCTGTAACCTCTACCGCTGTATCTGTTCTTAAAGCCAAAATGCAAGTCACGTGCAGTTTTTCGAGTGGCCGCTGCGGGAGAAATGGTGTCGTTGTGTTCGTCATTAGCTCGGTGCTCGGAGACAGATTGGGGCCATTTCTTCAAAGCTGTCTCTATGGGAGTTTCCCAACTGAGTGTTTTAGTAACGTTGGGCGAGGGAAAGGAAGGCCGAGGAGGAGGAAGCAGAAGGAACGCTAAGGAGAGGAGGAGGTTTCCCCCTCTCTTCTCCAGGGTTCCGTCTGCTTCCTCCTTCCCGGCCTGTCTTTCCCTCGGCCTACCTTCTTGAGTTGCAACGGACTATAGCTGCCTTTGTCTCCACTGCACTGCTAGAACGCGGAACGCCGGCGTCCGGCGTTTCGCTTTCGCATTCGAACGCTTTCCACGAGTGCAAGTGACAAGAGCTGCTAGCTTTAGGTCTACCCACTAATCCTCCCAACCAGAGCTCGGCGTTCTGACGTCCCTCTCTCGTCTTTTCTCTCTCTCTGTGTTTCTGCCCTCATAGTTGCGGATTCTCACATTGCTCTATGAGGCGAATGAATGAAGAAATAACGACAATGCATCCCTGTTCCACAGTGCACACAGGCTAGACTATACTTCCAAAAATCCCTGCACGCAACACTGCGCGCGTTGCATGATGGCGACCTGTCTGGTCACGGACAGGAGTGGCACGGTTTCGATTATCCCGCTGATCAGGCAGTGCGTCTCAGCATTGTATGAAAAGAAAGTCAGCGCTCGCTTGCATTGCTCACCCTCCAGCGGCCGTAAGGACCTGCCTATTGTAGGCTTAGCGAAGAGTAGGAGTATAGTCACATATTCGAAAATGCGAGCACTGTATTCGGCCGTGACGGGATGTCGTGAACAGGTGGACAAATCGAAACCGAAACTCGGTGCCAAAGGGTTCCCAAGACAGTCTGCGCGGCATTACGCCGCCTCTAGGATCGCTTCCATTTTGCAGTTGTAGCAGCTGTACACAGGCGTCGCCATAACCAACCTTCAGTTGCCGTTCCCTCTTTTTACGTTTACTTTACTTCATCGTTATCATAGCAGGCCAGGTTATTGACATTTTAAGATTCTACAGCGTCCTTCTCAGCATTGGCCTTTGTGAACGTCCGTTTCAGTGCCTCGGTATCTGGGTAACACAAGGCAAGGTCAGCAATGGCGGCTGAAATCTGGCGCGGGTGTAAAGTGTCTATTACTCAGCGGGCCAGACACGGCTGAATGGGGAAAACATTCTAGGACCGACGAGCTTCACGTACGCGACAGAATACACTCTAAAGCAATCAAACGCTCCCCACATAAGAAAAGAAAAACCACAGAAAAGCTGTCAGAGGCATCCGGATGATGAAGATGGAAGGTGGATTAAAAAGAAATAAAATACAGGAGGCAACCTCTTCCACTCTCCTGTCAGTTTTCGCAGCGCGAAAACTGGCAGGAGAGTTTTTTCGGGCGCGAAGCGGATGTCGACATACACTTGAAGCGGTATTCGCGTCTCCAGCTCGACGCTCGCCCTCCCGCGGCGGAAACGGGAAGCACTCTAGTGGGGGTCCCCCGATTCTCCCGCTCAGCGGGCATGGCGGAACTGCTCGCGATCATGGCTCGCGAAATGTCGTTTCCGAATGCAAACAACACTCTTCACTGTCCCAACGTATAGTGCTGCAGCCGGTATGGGATTGTACCTTACTGGAGAGTTTTAGTATTGCGCATAGAAGCAAATGCAAGCGGTGTGCGTTTGCGTTCGAGTTGTGTGCCCCACGTTTTGCGTGCGCCTCATCGCCATGCGCCATCCAAGACCGCAATTTCGGGCTCCGCGCACGCTCAGTGTGGAACACGCAAAGCTAACGCAAACACACAGGGCTTGAGTTTGCTCGTACACGCAATATTAAAACTCACTACTGTTTCACCGGCTTTCAACGCCAACGAAACGTGCTGCAGTGAGCAGACGTGCAAGCAGGTAGGCGTTCCTTCGAACTGGAAAGGCTGAGATTGGCAAAAAGACGGCGAGCAAATACAAAAGTAAATAAATGTTATGAAAAAGCTAGTAATTAAAAAAAAAAAAGCTTTTTTTTTATTTTTGGGCATTTGGTTTGGAAGTATATTAGTGGCGACTTTGGACGTTACGCCGATTGTCAAAAGTTACGACTTTGACAATCGGTCCCACGCGTCACGCAGTGCTCTAAAAACACACTCACACTTCAGCTGTCTGACTCGGATTCCGTCTTTGAATTTTTTCTAGTGAGAACAGCGTTTATTAGTTTATTCGTTTGGTGGAAATATTGTAAAAATTATAATTATTCTAGTCCTTGTGCTGGGATAATTGTCATTATTTTCTATGACAATTATCTGAGCGAGAAAAAAGCAGCGAGAACGCACAGATATCAGCACTGATTTTTTCAACAACTACAAATATCAGCCTGAATCGAACAGCATGTTACAAAATAATGTTTCCGGAAATATCTTTTCCAAATAATTACGATGTGAGACACATCTTGAGTCATGAAAGAATCCGAAAGTACGACCCATATCGAGAAATTAAATCCAAAATAGAGGTAAGTTTCGGTTTCGCTCCAGAATTAAAACGCGCATCCTTCCCTAAATAATACGCTAAACACCGCTCTTGCTTTCAGGTTAAAAAGGTGACCTGCGCTCATAAAACATTAGCTTCCTCGTATTACCAGGAATAATTTATGTCGCTCAGTGAAGCCAGCACACTAGACAGGCTCAACAATGGCACGCATCTCTGACCCTCACTAAACCCGCCATCTTGGAAAATGAGTGGCGCCACCTATAGTTAGTTGGAGTCGCGAATATCGTGCATGTGTATAGTCTAAAATGCTAGGGAGACTTTCGCGGTTCCCAAAATGATTTGCGCGGCACTACGCCGCTGGGATCGATTTGGTAAGACATCTATTTCTCAGCGGCCATATATGACTGAATGGAGGGGGGGATTTTGAGAAGAACGACGAGTTTCACGTACGCGAGCGACACAATACGTTCTAAAGCAATCAAACCTTAACCAAATAAGAACAACCACAGAAAAGCTGACAGAGGCATCCGGATAATAAAGATAGAAAGTGGATTAAAAAAAAAAAAAAAACTCATAGGAGGCAACCTGTTCCGATTTCCTGTCAGTTTGCGCGGCGAGAAGCAGACGCTATGTCGACAGACTTGAAGCGGTGCCTGTTCAAGGTGCTAGGCAGACTTTCGCGGGGGAAGAAGCAGGATACCAGCCTATTTGTGTCGAAAGTGTGGAAGTCTGCTTTTACGTAGCCGCCGCGTCCTCCCCCCCCCCCCCCCCCCCAAAAAAAAAAAAAAAAAAGAAAGCAAGCCGAGAGTTGAGTGACTTGTTTTTGTAGAACGTTGTTGGTAAGCGTTTTTGGTATTAATGTCACACGAATGAAGCAAACGCGGCGTAAAGCGCAGCCCCTAAAAAACAATATCAATTTATAAATTTATGTTGTGTGTTTTGTTGTTTTTAGGGAAAGGATTGCGCTTCACCGGTGGGAAATTGACCTTCCTAAAAAAAGGTGAAACTTTAGTCTAGAAGCTGCAACCTAAAGGCTGGTGAACACACTTGCGACTGCTTACGAAGAGAGAACAGACTGGCGCCATCTGTCAGGGTACCCGCGGATCACTTGGCAATTCCGTTTATTTTCTATCTTTTTCGCGCATCATCCTTTCTTTCTTAGCGTGAAAAAAGAAAGAAAGAAAACACTTTCGACGATGTTATAAACAATTATTTCTCATAAATAGTACGTATACATTTCATTTCGCAAATCTGCAAAACTTTCGCTCCAGTGAAATGCAGTTCCAGGTTTATTTCATAGATGGCGCCAGCGTGCCCTCTCTTTTGCAGATGGCATTCACTACAGTGAGGCCACGGGTTACAGGGTGGGGGATAGGATGGGCCGCACGGTGACTGCTTTTTTGGGGGGACCGAGGGCCCTGGGGGCACTGAAGTAATTGAAAACCCAACGAAGTCAGGAGAGGCACCCAGGGTTAAAAAGAGGAGAAAACGTAAGAACAGGTATAAAAAAACAGCACAATCAGACATTGGATATATTAACATGCAGGGTGGTAGAAATAGGTTAAAATGGGAAGAGGTAGAGGAGCAACTAAGAAAGGAGGATTTAATGGTGTATGGGTTTGTGGAAACAC